TTCCAGATCCCCAACCAGCGCAAGTGGAGACGCAGCTTCACCAGATGGGATAAAAGCCGCTAGCAGGCGAACTAGCCTGTGGTATGGTGAGTCACAGTCGGTGCTGTCATCCGGACAAAGCGCAGACATTAATCCGCGCATCGCGGAAACCAGGCTGTCCGGGTGCCCACCTGCAAAGGCGATCCCATTGATCACATTTGCAGGCGGACGCACCCTCCTGCTAGAAATTCTGTACGCAAGTCCCCATGGGTCCTCATTGCCAGAATTGGCGACTTTTCGGTGTTGCGACTGCTGCGCCTCCACCATCATCTTCCTGTATCGCGCACGCACGCTGTGAAAAGCCGTTCTGGCTATCTCCTCAGACCTGCCTCCCAGACGCCTTTTACTCTAACAAGCACGCCTAAGTTTGCATTGCAACTTCCGAGTCTTATCTGATTCATCTGTCCACCATTCGTACCCCCCCGACCTCCTGGGGCGACGCTCTCCTAAGCCTTCCTTCGTAAGAGGCAACAGAGGGAGACAGGCAGGAGAAGGGCAGCAGCATCTTCCTGATAACAACAGTGATATAATAAAAAACTGCGGGGGGAGGACACGGTAATCCTCGAGTCCGGCAACTTGTTTTATCACCGGGTGGGCGACCATCTGTCCCAAGGAGGTATCGAATTTATCGTCCACAAGTCTCTCGTCAATAACGTTTTAAAGATTGGGAGTGTAGCGACGAGGGTTGAGTACCTTATACTCAGAATCACCAAACGGTATTCGCTGAAGGTCATATAGGTTTACGCACCAACCTCGGCACATCCCGATGAGGAGGTGGAGGAAATGTATGAGGATATTTCCAGAGCCATGCATTCCTCCAAAACCCACTACACAGTGTTGATGGGAGACTGAAGTTAGGGAAATTTGGAGTAGGGCAACGGAACCGAAGGGGCCAGCAGCTGGCCGACTTTATGGAGAAAGATGGACTCTTTATGATGAACTCTTTCTTCCAGAAGCGGCCCCACAGGAAGTGGACCTGGTCGAGCCCCGACGGTTCGACAAAAAATGAGATTGACTTCATTATCACGACCAGACGCCAACTGTTCAGTGATGTCTCAGTGATCGCAAGGGTGAAAACCGGCAGCGATCACCGAATGGTTAGAGGCACACTGAACCTAAACGTTAAGTTGGAGAGGTTTCATCTAATGAAGTCAACGCTCCGTCCCCCTCGTGCTCTGATCCAGAATCCCGAGACTTTTCAGCTCGAGTTACGTAACCGCTTTCAGTGCCTAGAAGATTGCAATGCAGTGGACGATATGAATGACAAGCTCGTGGAAACTGTCCATGCGGTCGGAGCTAAGTTCTGCAAGACCCGCCGCAGAAGAACACAAAAACTCTCCGATCACACTCTTAATCTCATGGCTGTTAGACGGGAGATGAGGCTGCAATCGTCAACAGATTTGACAGCATACAGACAACTGAACAGACAGATCTCCAAATACATGCGGCGAGACTTCCGCAACTTTAATACTGCTCGTATTAAAGAAGCGATCGAGCGGAACCAGGGCTCCAAAGTATTTGCCAGAGATCTATCTGCCAGAAAGAGCCAACTGTCAAAGCTGAAGACTTAATGTGGCAGCATCGTTTCCGGGACACCTGAAATTTTGAGTGAGATTGAGAGGTTCTATGGGCAGCTGTACACATCATCGTTGGAGCCACACGCAAGTGTGAGTAACGATCCAAGAGCAAGTCTTATCCGACACTATTCCGATGATATCCCGGACGTCAGTTTGAGCGAGATTAGAATGGCTCTCCAGCACCTTAAAAACTGCAGGGGCCCCAGGGAGGATGGAATTACAGCGGAGCTTCTGGAAGCGGGTGGAACACCGGTTCTTGAAGTCGTTCAGAAGCTCTTCGATTCCGTCCTCCATGGTGGCACTACTCCGGAGGCGTGGAGCAGAAGTGCGGTAGTCTTGTTCTTTAAGAAAGGCGACAACGCTCTCTTGAAGAACTACAGACCGATTTTCCTTCTGAGCCGCGTCTACGTGTTGCTTTTGAGAGTCATTACGAATCGTCTCGCACGCAGACTCGACGACTTCCAGCCTACCGAACAAGCCGGTTTCCGAAAAGGCTACAGTACCATAGACCACATACATACCCTGCGGCAGATTGTACAGAAGACCGAAGAGTACAATCTGCCACTTTGCCTGGCGTATCTGGACTATGAGAAAGCCTTTGATTTCGTCGAAATTTGGGCGGTGCTACAGTCCCTTCAGCGGTGCCAAATTAACTGTCGGTATATCGAAGTGCTGAAGTGTTTGTACAGTAGGGCTACGATGGCTATCCGAGTACAGAACCAGAGTTCGAAACCTATCCAACTGCAGAGAGGTGTAAGACAGGGTGACGTTATATCCCCGAAACTCTTCACCGCTGCGTTGGAAGACGTTTTCAAGCTACTGGACTGGAAAGGATACGGTATTAACATAAATGGCGAGTACATCACTCACCTTCGATTTGCCGACGATATAGTCCTTATGGCAGAATCGTTGGAGGACCTTAGCACTATGCTCAATGACCTCAATGGTGTCTCCCAACGGATAGTTCTTAAGATGAACATGGACAAAACAAAGATTATGTTTAATGTCCATGTCACACCTATGCCGGTAGTTGTTGGGAACACTATGCTTGAAGTTGTAGATGAGTACGTTTACCTGGGACAAATAGTCCGACTAGGTAAGTCCAACTTCGACCGAGAGGTCAATCGACGGATTTAACTCGGTTGGGCGGCGTTCGGGAAATTAAGACACATCTTCTCGTCAGGTGTACCTCAATCTCTGAAAACGAAAGTGTACAACCAGTGCGTGTTGCCAGTGATGACTTACGAATCTGAGACGTGGTCCTTCACTGCTGGCCGTATGAGGACGCTCAAGGTCGCTCAGCTTCTCTGCGTGATAAATTCAGAAATGAGGACATCCGCAGTAAAACCAGAGTGACCGACATAGCTCAACGGATTAGTAAGCTGAAGTGGCAATGGGACGGCCATATAGCTCGAAGAACCGATAACCGATGGGGGAGAAATGTTCTCGAATAACAGCCTCATACCGGTAGGCATAGTGTAGGGCGACCCCCCACTAGATGGAGTGACGACTTGGTAAGACATGCAGGAAGTCGATGGATGCAGGTGGCTCAGGACCGTGCTTTGTGGCATTACTTGGGGGAGGCCTATGTTCAGCAGTGGACTTGTGAAGGGCTGTAATAATGAATAATTAATATTTTGTAGTTGAGTAGAATTACATGTTAATATGTTTCTTGCATTATAATGAATTGATAAACAGTTTCTAATAATAATTTTTATGCCTAACTTATACTGCAACATCCTGGCGTATTTAAAAGATCAAAATCAAATTATTTACAAAACAAGCTGCTTGATATTTATAAAATTATACATACTACATTATTTTTATTTACAAATAAAATTACCTTTTTAGCGATTTCGCAGTAATTGTTCGAAATGTCAACCTTTTCCTTCTAAACACAAACTAGCACGTCTTTATAAATTGTTTGTTAAACTTCGAAGCGTACCACTATCATTTTTTATCACACTAAATGCGTCAACTATACGCTGTTTTAAACCACAACACTTTGTGCTTCTTCTGTGTACGCTAATCGTTTTAGTTTAGCTCATAAATAAAAGTCTAGAGGTGTTAGGTCTGGTGAAATCGCCGGCCAGTTCACAAGTCAACCGCGACCCAAATTGGTTCGTCATTGTTAGATACTCGACTTTAGAGTATTGGTACATGTTCACGATACACATGCGGAAACATTAATACGACGGCGACGCGACGTCACGCCTCAGCTACTACTACAGCAATGAGGATGCGGGGCCCTTGCGCCTTTGACCCTGCCTACTAAATTTTTGTTTTTTTTTACCGCTCGTCAAGTGGGGCGAGTATGATTTAAATTTCAATAGATTTTTATTGATTTAATTCAAAATTAATTTTTGTTTTTATTTTTTTGGAAAACGCCATAATAGGTATCTAATCCATTCGACCTGTTACACTTTTTTTTTAAGACGGTAAAAATAGTTACGCAGATATTTTTCAAGTTAACTGCAGATGTTCATGGACTGCAGTGGCTACGAACTTGGAGAATGTTTGCTTTTTTGCCATAGGCTCCTAATCCATTCACCTGTTACACCACTTTTTTTAAACGGTAAAAATAGTTACGCAGATATTTTTCAAGTTAACTGCAGATGTTCATGGACTGCAGTAGCTACGAACTTGGAGAATGTTTGCTTTTTTTGCCATAGGCTCCTAATCCATTCACCTGTTACACCACTTTTTTTAAAACGGTAAAAATAGTTACGCAGATATTTTTCAAGTTAACTGCAGATGTCCATGGACTGCAGTAGCTACGAACTTGGAGAATGTTTGCTTTTTTGCCATAGGCTCCTAATCCATTCACCTGTTACACCTTTTTTTTAAGACGGTAAAAATAGTTACGCAGATATTTTTTCAAGTTGACTGCAGATGTTCATGGACTGCAGTGGCTACGAACTTGGAGAATGTTTGCTTTTTTGCCATAGGCTCCTAATCCATTCACCTGTTACACCTTTTTTTTAAGACGGTAAAAATAGTTACGCAGATATTTTTCAAGTTAACTGCAGATGTTCATGGACTGCAGTAGCTACGAACTTGGAGAATGTTTCCTTTTTTGCCATAGGCTCCTAATCCATTCACCTGTTACACCACTTTTTTTAAACGGTAAAAATAGTTACGCAGATATTTTTCAAGTTAACTGCAGATGTCCATGGACTGCAGCAGCTACGAACTTGGAGAGAATGTTTGCTCTTTTGTTAATCTTATTTATAAAAATATATTGGTATGTAAAATTTGTCAAAAACTAGACATGGACAAAATGTTGCTAATTCGCCATTATCAACTTTTATTATAAAACCACTAAACAAAAATTACTATGTCGCATTATTCTTAATATAGATAAAATAATAGAGGTCAACTCACATTAAGGTCGGGACTGGCTATAGAGTGTATAGTATCTGCAAGCTGTGAATCGTCAACGGATGTTTGATTGTGCTGCGTGTGCTGTGTCGACACTAGTGGATGCGGCGTCATATGTCGAGGTGGAGACATCGTCACCATGCTGCCAAAATAACACAGAGATATAATACAAGTACAGTACGTACGGATGAAGAATGGGATTAGAAATGGCGGCTCATCGAGCCCGTGCCGTCAGCATAAAGTAAGTAAAGTTACAGCCTATATACGTCCCACTGCTGGGCACAGGCCTCCCCTCATTTCTGAGAGAGTTTTAGGGCAAGGAAGTATCCGCCGCGCTAACCCAATGCGTGTTGGCGAACTAACTTCACATGTCTTCGAAATATTTCTTTTTTTTCTCTTATTCCTCAGACATGCAGGTTTGTGCCTCACGATGTTTTCCTTCACCGCCGAGCACGTGGTAAATCAGCACTTAAAATTGCAATTAACAATTTCATTGGTGCCGGTGGAGATCGAACCCGGGTTACTCGCGTTCTGTTATATTTACAGCGAGCGTTAACCATCTGAGCTACCACGGCTCCCGTCTCGGCCGTCAGCATGCTCAGTACCAATGGCGAATACCCGCTAATATGTAGTAATAACGTTATACTATTCAATTAAATTAAAATTTTCTATTTATGGGAAAATATTTGATAAAAATTGCATATCCAAATACATAGGTACATTAATTTTAAAATAACATTTATAACTAGCGACCTGATTTGGCTTCGCCTGGGTGGAGTCTATTAATTTTGTGTTATTTAGACTTCGATCAATTATATACTAGATTAAGGATCAGGAACAAAAATAAGTCGCACAAGTGGCCACGTTTGCACACAAATAAACACCTATCTATCTTAGAAAAAAGTTTAATAATATTAACAACTTCAGTTTATTATAAACCTTATAACATCCTAACATAAACTTTAATTACCATTGCAAAATATATTTATTTAAGTCCTTTCATCAGAGGAAGGTTAAAAGCAATAAGTTTAGAATATCGCTTGAAAATAAAAAGTCATAGGTTACAAAAATATTTATTCTAAAATGAAACTTAAACTCTTTAGTTATTATAAGGCTAAAACATTATGTTGACATTTTCGTGCTTGATTAAAACTACTTTTACGGATTTTATCGCGCGATAAAATCCGTAAAAGTAGTTTTAATCATGTATAGTGTTCGCGTAAATATAAGAAATCATTTTCGTGCTTACTCTAATTTGGTAGTAGCCGTAGTTCTTGGTATTATATTTCAATGCTCGGAACACAGTGAGTATTGAAAGACGTAGAGTTACAGAATATAAATATTTTAGGGCAAGGGTCGTTTTGTATGGTGGCAAATATTTTTGACCGATTTGTAAGTTAGTAGGATTAAGTAGTAGGTATTCACTGAAAGGTCGTCAATTTCTTTTTTAAATACCCTCTTCTGAGTGTCACATATCGATGTTAAATCTGATAATGATGCATCAGGAGACTTCAAGCAAACTGCATCAGCCCGAGGTACGTCACGTATTTCTGTCATATCTTCAAAGGTTATAGTTTATTGAAAACAATTTTAAAGTATTTCATGAAAATACCTACAGGTATAGATTTTATTTTGTTATAATGATTTTTTAATAACCCGATTTAATAACTCTTTCGTTATTCTGAACATAAACCTGATTGCACATTTATTGGTGCGCGAATCTGAAAAAGTCATAAACAACTTACTTTTTTACCAAAAGTACTACACTGCCTTCACAATCTTACACTTCCAATTTTACTACTTTATGATAATTACCTGCAGTTTGGGAACCGCTGTTTTTAGTAATCTACGTCTTTGCGTGTTTCCAGTTATGTCCAATCTATCAAAATGAATCGAACATATTCTCAAATTTTTGGATGGGTTGTATATATAGTTTTTCTCCTCTTTCTTTCGCGACAATAGATACTCATTCTGCACAGCGAAAACGGTCCCAAGGAAATTTACAAACAAAAAATATGTATTAAACAATAATACTACTCCATGCATGTTTGTTCAAGAACAGTCGATGATTGTTACAATATTTGTTGCGTTGTAGCAAACATTGGCCAAACAATCATGATATTAGCTAATTGAATAATTTTTGCTATATAATTTTGTTTTTATTTTATGAAAAATACTTAATGATATCTAATTCCAAATTCTTGGTGGTTATTTGCACAGTTTTTGAACGCGCGCACTGCGGCATTTCGACGTTTTAACGTTGGGTATGCTTGGACTATACTAATTTGAAATAAGACCACAGAAGTGTTTGTGGTCTTATTTTTCTGGCCCTTTTTGAAGCGCTCATCGGGAATCTAGTATATTATTGATCGCAGTAATTAGACTTAAGATAATTTTAAGATAAGATTTTTCGAAAAAAAATTAAGTCTATATTTCATCTGGTATATTACTTCCTATTTGCTCGTGAAGTTTTATTGCAATCGGTTTAACCGTTCCGAAAAAATGATTACTCATCTCACGTAATACGTAAATATTTTATTGAAAAATATTAATAATCAAAATTAACAATCATTATGATGAAAGCTCTCAGAAAGCGTCTAGCTCACAAATGGGCGAAAGCGAATCGATTTTTTTTTAGTTTATGACATTTTATTGTTATCATTGGTTCCAATGACAAGTTGGACTAAAGTTATAAAACGTAAGAAAAACGCATATCGCAATGTATTTTTTTTTTGCGGTTTTTATCAGCGGTGTGAGTATAAATAGCGACAGTGTTCGAGCGAGATGTGAATAGAGGCGATGCCATTTTCAGTCGCATTCTTTAACCCAACAGGCTGTATGTTGACAACACTGTTATATTAGGTGCTACTATATATACATTACATATTTAGTATAATCTAGTATTGTAGTACAAATAATGACATAATATAACAACAGCCATATTACGCAGGCCTCTACATTAATTGGTAGGATCACTAAGGGTCTAAGAGGGTAGGGATTTATCTATGCCTAACAACATAACGACCCTTTCTGGGTACTGACCAATACCTGGGTATATCACAAAATTTTTTGCTATATTGCAAATTTTGCTATATTTTCACTTTGAGACAATATTTATGGATAAAACTTACAGGAATTCTTGTTGAATGTATAAACTATCGAATAAAATTATTTTTGGTTGCTAGAAATTGTAATAAAATACGTAAATTACCCTGTATAGCATAGTAGTAGTATATACTTCAATTTTAGTGACAAAATTACTACTAATTTAAATTCTACACTTTTGTTTTTAGAGAAATTTATATGAAAATGTTTGGAAATACGTATATTTTTATATTTTATGTGTTTCCATTCGTTACTCATACCAAAATATTAAAATATTAAAAAATTTAAAAAAAAATAATAATATTTTATCTGTGTGACATTTAGAACAATATTTCTAAAATAGTTTTGTGTGAATTTGAAATAAATACAACGTCAAGTTATTTGAAATATGTAAGAAAACTATTTTTACTTACATTTTACACTAAAAATAAATGAGAATTTGGAAAATAACACATTTATGACCCAACCGCCAAAATGGAGCTTCCGGATTTTGAAGTACTTTTGGCAATTTACTTTTCACTTTTTTATACCACAAATTATATATCTACGTGTTTACTATATTACAAGGAATATAAAAAAGTATAATTTTTTATATTATAAAAACTTTCGTTTTTAGTCCAGACACAAATATAAAATTCTATAAAAAAGACGGAGCACCTTCATCAAAACGACACGTGGAACGCCGAAAGTTCAGTGATTTCTTTTTTTTTTTGTAAGAAACATTGCCAGGTTATGGTTTAAAATAAAAGAGCATATCTTTGTCTTTGATACTATTATCTATTGCATAGTGTCTTTGGTTTTGTTTAAAACGAAAAAATAGTTTTTTCATAGGTAATTAGCGCACGACTTGGCAAACGGAAGGATGGTATTGTACGATCAAAAGTGCGCATGGCTTGGTTAACAGGTTAATTGTATTTTATTGCATTTATTCTATAAGATACATTTTTTACTCTATTTTTAACCCGCGACGAAAACATATCGGTGTTATAAGTTTGTAGCGTGTACCAGTGGCATTAGCTCTAAAAAGAGGAAACGATTTAGATAAAGTTTTATTCGTTTGAAAGGTGTCTCGATCGAGTGTTCTTAGCTGTTTCAAGAAAATCCGTTCAGCTGTTTGAAGACGATTCTTTTTGTTTTGGGGGTTTTATTAATTTATTATTGAAGTTATAGTTAAATGGTATAAAGTTAACATATTTTTATAAGTATTTTTTTTAATCCGAACCAGAAGAGCTTCGATCAACAATACCAACTAAATGTCGGATCGGCGCTAGAAATCCATCTCAGTAAATAAGAGCGCACATGAGGCGTGAGCTCTTGCACGTGAGAGTATAGCTCGCAAGGCAATAACGGGAAAAAGAGCTTTATTTGTTACAACTTAAGGTTGATTTTACACTAAATGTATATAATTTATGTCTTTTCATAGTTTATATACATGCGGACAGTATTTAGCTATGATTTTGAACGTGACCCGTTATCTAGTTGTCTAGGTATTGTCGATCGAAGCAGAAGAGAAAGCAAACAAACAAATAGTGGTAGTATAATGTAAGCATTAGGTACTTGTTGCGCGCGGGGTGTGCGGACTGAGCGGGCGTGGAGAGCGCGGGCAGCGGGCGCACGGCGGCGGCGGGCACGGGCTCGTCTAGGAACTTGAGGTCGATCTCGGGCAGTGCGGGCCGCCGCGTCACCGGCACGGCCGCGTCCAGCTGCGCGATCAGCTCGGGGTCCAGCCCGAACGGGCCCGACACCACGCGAGGCTCGGCGGTCGCACTGCGCACAAACACACCATAACATATTTTAAGACGTGGTATATGTTATATTAGTAGTATAGTTGTAGTACGAATGGGTCGGCTCGACCAGGGAAGGACCACGCTCTCACAGAATACCAGCGTAATATAGTAGCTTAACGCTGCTGTGTTTTGTATGGTGAGTGTAGAGACCGGAGACCCTTTTTACAGGAAACGAGGCATTCCATCTTAGTCCTCACGGGTAACAACGCATCTGCATTTTGATTCGTAATCGAAGATAGATGTAGATGTCTATGGGCCGCAGTAACTACTTACCATCAGGTGGACTGTGTGCTCGTTTGTCACCCAATCCTCTAAAAAAAAACAAGCCTTTTTAACATTTCACGGCTCTATGGCGCACTGGCTCAATAATAACTTTGTGCGAAATAGGCCGCGAGTTGGAACCCCGCATGGAACAAGTATTTGTATAACCTACAAATAATTGCTTCTCCCAGTACAATTTATGTTTGTATACTGCCACCACGATATAGGGAAAATCTTAGAAGAGATAGTTATTTAAAAAAAGTAAAAAATAAAACATTGAAATAATAATATGTACTACTACTAGAAGAGACGGCGATGCCTGATCGTTGCAACACAAATTAATGCCTATGAATAAAAAGATACTCTACGTCTCAGTCTGTAATACTAGTCTGTTCTGCTAAGTAGTACATATTACTTCAAGACATTTGAATTGTATTTTTATAATTAGTGATTAGGTAGTGTGCAAGGAATAGACGAAAATGAATTATTCAAATATTTCATACAAACTTCAGTCAAGGATTTCCTACTTTAAAAGGTTTCTTCACTGTATATGCATATTTGTCCAACACAAAGTTGAAAAAAATAGAGATGCGATATTCGATGGACAAAAAGTCAAACAGGATCTAAATAAAAATGTATGCAATTAAAAACCTAATTCATGCACTATTATATTATCAAAAAATATTGTATGATTATCGCTCAAAAAAACGCAACGAAACTTTATGCTTTAGTAAAAAAACGTCATTCATCAACATATACTTTTTTATATCCATTAAAATAAAATATTTTAATAATCCATTAGATTAAGAATTGAATATTTCATATAATATGAGCAATGCACATATTTTTTAGATATAGGAGGTATAGGTACATATAGGTATGGAGATATACTATTTCGAAAAGTCAAAATCGTATCTAAATATGATATTTTATCCCTTAAAAATAAGGATATTTTCAGCTGTGATATTTCCTACGTGATGTCATATAAAAAGATTAAATGAAGCTACCTTTAAATAATACTAGTTTTTACGGAATTTATCGCGTATATTTAACTTTTTTAACCGCGGTTACCATAGACTATGACATATGGACGTTGAACATCTCAGTCCCGCCCGTGACCATGAGTTCTGTAAAGCGTTCGAAACGTCGGGTATTAAAAAAAAAGTTAAATATACGCGATAAATTCCGTAAAAACTAGTATTATTTCAATGTGTAGTGTTCGCGTAAATATAAGAAATCATTATGAAGCTACCTTTTACGTTAATTAAAATTATCAGTATAAATTAAATGTGAATTGCATTATTATATTTACGGTTGCGCAACAGGAGGAGGTGGTTGTTCCTCAACTTCTTCTTCTTCATATTCCGCGGCTGGAACGCTATCAACCGATATCACACGCCTTGGTGGTTCATCCTGTACAAACACAAATGATGCTTATTCAGTATTAACCACAAAAACATTTGTATTAGTGGTAAACGCGTAAATGACATTCATGAAGTATTCTTGTAATCAAAATTGAATAATTTGATTAGGACATTAACAACAATTAATAATAACTTTGTGCAAGCTGCCTATAATTTATAAAAGTCACTTTAGAAAATAAAATAATTAAAATTATATTGTCAAAACGGCATTATTAGAACAAATGTGAAATTTACCTCGGGCATAGGTTGTATGGGTTTCCCAGAAGCTGACAGAGGCACCAACATGGACCTTCTCGCTTCCGCGCTGCGACTTTTGCTCGCACGTTTTATTCTTTCTTCAAGTAACGAAAGATCTTTGTCGGATATCTGTAATCGAATAGGTACTGGTACTTTTGACATCTTTCTATTAAATTTATGAATATTATCTATTTCATCATATTTAATACGACCGTCTAGTAATATTATTGCGTGATCGACTTGCCAGAATTATATGTTATATTAAGCTAAAATCGATAGTCCAATCTAGTAAGTGTACTAAACAAATTAACAAATCATTGTTAAATCAAGAAAAGCTTTTTCTAAATATCAACACAGTACATAGTTAATATAATAATACATATTATTAACTCAATGATAATTTTTATCTACAGATAAACAATATCTAAACACATTTAAAGCAGCATGATAATAAAGTATTATGATGAGGTTAGTTTTATTGCATTCATACGTAATTGATAAAACACGATAGTAATACATTGATAAAACACAATAGTGACAACATTTAAATTAATTAATTAATTACAAACACTGCTTTTTCTCATACATAATTAAATAATAGGAATATAGTAATTGTGTTTTCGACATAAAGAGATTAAAACAGTTCTATAAAAACCTAATATTGTTAAAATGTAAAAGTACTTGTATTCTATATGTTTTGTTTTAAGGAATTAATGGTAGGGGTAACCATTTGGAAGGAGTCAGTCACCGGTGCAAACTCAAGGTTAGGGACATTCTCAAGACTATTATTGGGTAGAGAATTCTCTAAAGTATGTAATAAGCAGTTACTAGGTTTCACATGCTAGAAGCACACTTTTACATAAACAGTAACAGTAATACTATTAACATTATAATCTATAATTTAATTAACAATTCTCGTAGTAAGTCTAGCTTAGACTTACATTGATTTGTGTCAATAATAGAATGTGAGGATTACCGCGACTTGATTTTTATCACGTGTGGATTTAAGACGCCCTATAAGCAATTATTATATCAACTATTATAGTAATAGCAGTTTCACTTACAGCATTAATTCCGTAACTAGTATTTTAAAATTAGAAATTAAACTAAAATAATTAACAAAACAAGCATTAAGACAGAAATAATTTTTTTACTGTTTTAAGAAAATTGAAAAGCTATATTTTTATTTTGATCTTCCACATATAACTTTCGTAAAAAAATCCTGTTATGTGTGTGCTTGTTTTCTGGTTTTGGCTTACAGCCCATTAATATCTAGTCCCTATGTCCCCATAATTGCCTGGCTCAATTAGTGTAATATTAAAGGGTATGTAACTTTGAAACCATGAAAACGGCTTAATAAGAAGTTTTGTGTTGTGAAGGCGGTGTAAGAGAATTCATCTCTGTATTTCGCCCTGTCGTTGTTGTAAGAGGCGACTTTGGGAAGTGCTACAAAAATCTCATGGCTTACGAAACTTAATTGATGTCGGGTGTCATTAATATTACATCCTACCAAAAGTTCACTGTTTTCACAAAAGTGCATTGTTCAAAAGTCATTCCTCATTGGACGTTCACAGTTCCATCTCGGTCTGATTTATTCATCATCATAATCATTATTACAGCCCTTCACAAGTTTACTATTGAACATAGGCCACCTCCAAGTAATGCCACAAAGCACGGTCCTGAGCCACCTGCACCCATCACTTCCTGCATATCTTATCAGGTCGTCACTCCGTCTGGTAGCGGGTCGCCCTACACTACGCCTACCGGTACGAGGCTGCCACTCGAGAACCTTTCTTCCCCATCGGTTATCGATCTGATTTATTATATTATCGGAATGGGATTCGAGCGAAACTTGACTGTTGTGTTGCTGTATGAATGCACACACATATTTTTTACTTGATAATATTTTATCAGACCGAGATCGGACCGAGAACGAACTGTGAACGGCATTATAATGACGGTCGGCCCTCAACGTATCGTCGCACGGCGTTGTCGCGGTCGCCGATGTGGCGCGCCAGCTCGCAATGTGTAATGAGATATGCACCTGTCCGATCATCTTGTAGACCTTCTCTCCCTCGAGGAAGTAGGTGCTGGCGACCGCGTTAAGCGCGGCGGAGCGCACGGCGTTGTCGCGGTCGCCGATGTGGCGCGCCAGCTCGCGCAGCGCAGCGCCGCAGCCGCCCGCCATCACCGTCGAGCCGTACGTCTCCACCAGGTGCCCGATGCACTCCAGGCACTCTGCGGACCACACCTTACTCAATTATCGACATAATCACTATCTTTAATTATCATACAGTAATTACGCAATCGTTTAAAGCATGTGCGATTTCCGGCTTGAAGCACCATAAGTAAGCGTATATCTTTTTAGTAACTTATAAAATTTATCGTATTAAAAATAAGTGACACCGTGTTATCATTATTCAAGGGTAAAATTTAAATTACTCACAACCGCACACCTGTAGATAATTTCTTACTAAGCCCAAACATCTTAATAAATATTAGTCTTGCAAGAGCTGAATAGCTCTACTTGCGCAACTACTCTATTACTACCATCTGTTTTTTTTTTAAAGAATGTTATTTCCACACTAAGATATTTTCCCATATTATGATGTACATACATTAGATGCTTTCCAGATCCAAGAAAATTATTTGCAGACCCTACAAGTACTTTCTGTTATGATTCGAATCCGCGACCCGGCAGCGTCGTAACCAAATCTTTAGCCAATAGCCAGTATACTACTTATCCGTTAAGCCTTTTGTTACCTTGTTATACAATGCTTTTATTATATTCTATGCCAATATGTTATGTAGTAAGTATATAAAGGAAGCAAATGATTTTGATAAATCTACATATTATTTACCATAAAGATTTGGATTATTATTTACATATTTTGTATAAAACACTAAAATGTGAAAAGTTTAAAAGATAAGTTTAAGCAAAAATTATTGATTTAATATGGTCCTTGAAGTAAAATTTATAGACTTATATATTATACTGAGTCTAAGATAAGAAAAGTTGTAATATAAAATTACTTTTATTGAAACATCTTTTTCATATTAAAGTTTGTATACGCCTAATATATCAAAATGGACTTACCAGCTCGCTGTCTTGCATTTTTCGACTTTAGCCCTTCCATGAGGTATCCAAATAACTTTGTTACGGAATAAACAACGCAAATCTGCCGGAACAAAGCCTTTACCCCGTTTCGAACAGTATCCTTTGGATCTCCAACCTGTTTTACATTTTAAAAATTATGTAAAAAAGGATTATTTAAAAAAACAGCAATGATGTCTAAAATGAATATCACTAAGTCACTAACCTTAAGCACAAGGTATGGAATAAAGCAATTAGCCTCATATTCAGCCATAGTGTAGTCATTATCCATGAGGTATTGGAAAACCAGAGAAAGGTATTCAAGTCCCTTCAATATGACAGAAGGGTTTGTGTCGAAGAAGCGTAGTGTCAACCACTTGAGAACAAGGTCCAGGTTAGCCATGAGTGCCGGGCCATTCTCATTAAGATCCTCAGACAGAGCTTCAATTGCTTTCAAGTGATATCTAAGAGGAATAAATAATAATTTTATTTTGTTTAGTAGTAAATAAACATAATACCAAAAAGAAAGAAAAGAAATAATTTATAAACAAAATTAGTGTCACTTCTTTTATTAACCTCTCAAACGCCAAACGTCCAAATTTGACTTTGACTAGAGAAAAAAGAAAGGACATGACATAAAGATCGTCGGTTGTAGGAATGTAACGAAATATCGGCGTCTCTTTTTACCTTATGAGTATATTCGGATGTAAAAAAGGACAGCAGTAGTTTTATCAATACCGAATATGACAACAATTTTTTCTCTGCGGCCGGGCGCCATGTTTATTCACAGTCAATGACAACTTATCAGTTGTCATTGCGGCTTAGTGAGTTGAGTGTGATATTTTCATATGTTTCTCTCGTGGAATTCGATTATTACGAAAGTTTTATTCTATTCCTCGGGACCTCTAATCGGGATAAAAAGTATCCTAATGTTAATTCAGGTAATAAACTATTTGTGTACCAAATTATTACATTCAAACTGGTCTAATACTTTTGGCGTGATTGTTCCTCAACAAACAAACATTCAAACTTGTGCATTTATTATAGTTTGATTAGTGTGAGTATGATGACTGAGCCTTATTATTAACTAACTACTTATTGTCTAACAAACAAACAAAAATTCTTTAATTATTCCTTGTTTACTAATCCAGGAAATATGTACATTAATTGAAAATTCATTATAAAAACAAAAAAAAAACGACTGCTTAAAAGTAATGAACTGAAAACATAGGTATAACTTGTAATATCTTTCAGTAATCTCGTTTTAATTTCCTTTATTTTGATATCGATAGGTTCAGTAAAAAAAAGTTAAGGACCTACAATTTGGCACCAAAATCCGTCATATTGATTTAAAACAAACCTATCTAAGAACACACGGGTGTTTGAGACGAATCACGCGAAAGAATCTTTTTCTAAATAAGCGCAACATTGTCGATATTAAGTATAGTGCGCAGCACTACGTCACGGTAATTTTATCTATACAGTATTCCAACTTCATACAAACGGACGAAGCGAGAGCTATGCCTACGCGCCTCGATCTCGGCATGCGCTCGGCATGCAGACAGTCGAGACTGTGCCGCAGTGATGATTTTGTGAAATATATAAAAAAATGGAGGAAATAAATAATAGAATAAAAATAAAGAAATAATAAATTTGAACTTCATTTAAAACCAAACATATAAATTGTAAAGTAGCTGCTATCTATAACCAACTAAAAGATATTCATTTTCTCCACCTTATCCAAGTTTTCCCAAAACAATTTTTAATTAAGCTTTATACTAGAAAATATTTTTTGGTCGCAAATTAATAAACTCCCGATTTGTTATTCAAACATAAACATGGTTTTTTAATTAAATCTACCAATCAAAAAACGACACGCATTGTTATTGAACACTTCCTATTCAATTAACAAAGTACCTATTTTTTTTGAAACAGAATCTACAGCTTGTACAGTTACCAATATATATAAACAAGTTTTGATATATCATGTAATATAGAAGCCTTTATAGATTTACATTTCTTATATTTGTTTATTTAAAAAAGTATATTTACAATCATAAAACTAAATGGAAACACAAAGTAGGCAAATGTAAAAACGCTGGGGGCAGGCAGCCCTATCGCATGTTTACGTACCGCGCGGCTGTAGGCATTTATTTGAAAGATACGACCGAGTTACAATACTGTATGGATAATATTACCGTGACTACGTCAAGCCGCCATCTTTGTGCCAGACTTAGTTTAGGTATACACGTTTTTTTCGTAGGTATGTCATATGTCCTTTCTTTCTTCTCTAGTCAAAGAAATTTGACCGCTTCGATATTCCGTCAAAATTCATGCGGTCAAATTTGTAACACCCACTCACGTAACTATAACCCATAAATAGAGTTACAACATATTCTATGAAGAAATTTGGCATTATAGAATCAATATAAAATTTTCTATCCTCTTGTGGAATAAAAAAAATATAATCATTTCGACTGCATGGGAATTTTATGGGGATTGAAGGGTTAAAGCTAATGGTAGTGTTCACTCATACCTGAAGTCACTGTGGAACATGTTGGCGACGAGCTGCTTATTGAGACCGGCACTAGCCATTTGTTCTTTCAACAAGTCAAAGAATTCCTCGCGTGGAGTCGTGAAGTTCCATTTCAAAACTAAAATGAAATGTTTCAGTTTAAAATCAATGAAATCAAAATTTTCAAAACTTCGTTTATTACTTTAAAAACTAAGAACAAATATTTTTCAGATAACCAAAAAAGGGAAGTGTAGAATCCTCCCCCACAAGATATAGAGTATCAAACTGGTTACAGGTGCAAAAAGCCAATAGATGCAGATACACGTCTATGAAATGCAATAACTACTTAATAGAATAATGAATCGAAATACCATAAAATGTAAGGTGTATAACTCACTTCTTTTTAATAAAGGCTAAAAGTGATTCCCGATAAGATTTCCCTGGTATAATATAAGAGCTATAAATGGCACATGATTTTTTTTATAGGATAAGGGTGACGAATGAGTACAGTCCACCTGATGGTAAGTGGTTACTGTTTCCCAAAGACATCCACATCTATCCTCGAGTACAAATTAAAATACAGATGCGTTGTCACCTGTGAGAACCAAGATGGAATGCCTCCTTTCCAGTAAAAGGGTCTCGGGTTCTCTACACTCCCCATACAAAACACAGCAGCATTGTCCTGCTATTTTACGCTAGTGGTGGTGGTGGTCCTGTGAGAGCGTGGTCCTTCCCCGGTTGAGCCGACCATGCTTATATAGCTGCAGCATGGCTCTACCAAATATAAAATAATTTGACTACTGATGTCATTATATTTTTAAAATAAAGTTGATAAAAATAAGAATATTTGGAAAATATGAAGATACCTTTTAACTTCTGATCATCAATGATTCTCTGATTTTTAGAGTTATTATTAGGTAGCAATGGAGTGCAGTCTTCATCCTCTTTCTTTCCACGACTAGATGCTGACGAAGGTTTAACGGGGCCCTGAAAATCAAATAACAGATAAATCGAACAGTGAAAGTTAGTAAATATACTTATATTTTATGTAATACATAAAAATTGAAATGTTAGCTATTAAATCTTTGGCATCAGTGAATGTTACTTTTACAAATATCAGATTTTCTTATTGCTAGAAAAAGTTATTTTCTTACTATAAAGTGATTTAAAATATAAACAAGTCTCCATAGAAATTTATAATTTAAGCAAGTAAGTATCGTTTTGGTTTAAAAGGATAAATGATTTTATTATTTTGATTATTGTATTGTTGTGTTAAAGAAATCTATAAAATATAATCCTATAAATTTGAAGTGCAATATTACCTTTCCTTTAACGGGCTGTGAGACTTTTTTCTCAGAATCTTTCTTAAGTGCGCCTCCTGATTTGACTCCTTTTGGTTCATCTTTTTTGGCTTTAGCTGGTAAAGGTTGAACAGGGAGATTGGGTCTCGCTTTATCTAAAGCTGCTTGAACAACGGTTTTTGAGCCAGGCTGGAACAAATTATAACATTTAAATAAATCTCTAAATTGCTTCACAGGTATTGTTAATCATCATCATTATTACACCACTTCACAAGTTCACTGCTGAACATAGGGTTTCCACGTAGGAATTCCACAAAGCACGGTCCTGAGTCACTTGTCACTCCATCTAGTGGGGGGTTACCCTAAACTTCGCACTTCTTCCCCATCAGTTGTCGCTTTTTCGGGCTATATGACCGGCCCATTGCCACTTCAGCTTACTAATTCATTGGGCTATTATGTCAGTCACTCTGGTTCTACTACGGGTATCCTAATTTCTAAGTTTATCATGCAGAGAAACCCCAAACAGAGCCCACTCCGTAGCTCGCTGGGCAACCTTGAGCTTCCTCATATGGGCAGCAGTGAAGGAAATATCTTAGATCCATAAGTCACCACTCACAACACGCACTGGTTGCACAATCTTGTTTTCAAATTTTGATGTATACCTGACGAAAAGACGTGTCGTAATTTCCCAAATGCTGCCCAACCGAGTTGAATCCGTCGTCGATTTACCTCTGGTCAAATTTGGACTTATAATTGCCGACTTAAGTCGTGAGCACATTTTTTATTGGTCGATACGACGTTGACCACGCTGACGTTCAACGTGATTGGTTCATCAGTCGGTTCTCGTCGTTTATTGGTTTCGAACGTATCATTCGGCTTCCGTACACTTCAGAGCAATAATTTTAGTGATAACTTTTTTAATTAGTTTATTTTCGTTAATTGTTTTTGTTACCTCGTTGTTAATTGTTGTTTGTGTATTCCTTGTTATTAATTGTTTTTGTTATTTCTTGTTTTTAATTATTTTTGTTGTTATAATTTGAGTGTTCAGATTTTGGTCTAAATATGCAGAGAAGAAAGAATTCGGTGTTAAATAGACAATCCCGACAAATGGTCTATTCAGTGTTTAGTTACATGAAAAAATTAGGTACTGCGAAAAAAATCATAGACATATATAAACAGACAGCTGAGGCGACTAATGTCTCAGTCGCTACTGTACGGCGCACCGCAACATCAGATTATATGGAAGGCATATCACCTCTTCGTTCTTCTTAATATACTAATCAATTCTAACCACCAGTTATACATTAAATACTTTATAGTAAATCCAATATCTGCAACATTACTGTATCAAAGTAAAAGTTGATGTGTTCGAGTAAACATTTTCATAAAAGTCGGCGAAAATATTCAATTACGAATTGAAATAATAAAAGTACCCAATAATTTTCCCCGACAGTGTACCTATCTCCCACCACAGTTTATCTGTGCTCACGACTCGTGTCGGCAACTATACCTATAGTCAACCAAATCTAAGAAATACCTTTTGACGTTTCACATTAATCATTCCGCAATAAGTTTGCACCAGCGTACTCGCACGATTTAAAATAACCTTTTACGTAAATCCGAAGAATTATGAAGTTATCTTTATTTCATTACAACGTGTACCCGTCACTACATCAGATTTGATAGACCGCAGATCCTAGCTAAAGAACACCGATTCCTTCCAAGGATGATCGTCGTTAGGTATGAAGTTAGTCGAGAGGGGAGGCGCGCGGCCGACGCCGACGAGCCGACGATATGTTAGCAAGTTCGTGTCACATTTCAATGTTTAGTGTTTACATTGTGTCAAAAAGTACTTCTACTTTGTGCATTGTGTGTTGAGCTTGAGCGAATGTATTGCGAGTTTAAAATGTATGCTTTTTTTAAAGATTTTTAGTGAAAATGGAGGGAAAGAGTGTTCCTTGTGATGAATTGAAGTGTGTGTGTGCTAGTGCTAATCGGCGAGGAAAAGGTAAAATTTTTAAACCTTGTTGGGATAAAAACAGCTCATATCCTCGCCGAAACCAACGCCTGATATGTGTATTTCTCAGACGAGTAAAACCCATAAACGGCAATTTAATAGATCTGTTTACAAAACTCATTGGATTGTTGGCTGCTCACATACCAATAAATTGTACTGTTGGTGTTGTATATTCTTTTCCAACGACAAAACGGCTTGGAATACTACTGGATATGACGATTTAAATAACTTATCTGGAGCCATTAAAAGGCATATGAATTCTCAAAAACACATGAATGCGGTAATTTCGTTTAGTAATTTTGGAAAAAATCGGATTGAAACATCTTTGTCGCGCCAGTTATCAGAGGAAATTATAAAACACAACATGCGTGTTGATAACAACCGTAGTGTTTTTCAAAGATTAGGCGATATTGTTTGCCATTTAGCACAACAAGAACTTCCTTTCAGAGGTCACGATGAGTCGAAAACTTCATTAAATAAAGGAAATTTTTTAGAACTTGTATCGCTTCTTTCGAAGTACGAATTCGTGTTAGAAAAGCATATCCAATATCAACAAAGCGAAAAACGGCCGAGTTATTTATCTAGTACAATCCAAAATGACATTATTCATTTTGTCGCTGATGTAATGAAAACTCACATCGAGTACGAAGTAAAATTGTCAAAATTCGTTTCAATTATTATTGACGAAACTCCCGATGTTAGTCACAGACAGCAATTGTGTCTAATTCTCCGATATTATTATGGAAACAATATTCATGACCGTTTTTTGGGGTATGTAGATGTGTGATAGTCGCAAAGCGGACACACTTTGTAATATCATATTGGAATTATTAAACAAACATGACTGCTCCACAAAACTAGTTGCGCAAAGCTATGACGGCGCAAGTGTCATGTCCGGTGTCAGAAATGGAGTGCAACAAAAAGTTAAAAATATTTGTCCCAAAGCCATGTATATTTGGTGTAATGCACACATTTTGGCATCAATTTTATCTTAATCTTGTAACAGGATTGGGGAGGTCAGCACTTTTTTTTCCAGCCCTTCAGGCTTTATTTAATTTTTTTAATAACACCACAAAACGGTCGTCTTTTTATGATGCACATTGCAGCAAAAAAATTGCCTAATGCCCCCGCAACTCGTTGGACGTATACGTCACGAATTGTGAATACAGTATTCGAACAAAAAGATAATCTAATTAATTTGTTTTCGGATATGTGCGACAATCCGCAGAACTGGGACGGCGATAGGATCTTGGCCGCCGAGAATTTTGAAAACACATTGTGTTCATTTAATTTCAATTTTTTCTTTCAATTTTCCAACGGGTATTTGAAAAAACCGACTGCTTGTACAATATTCTACAAAAATCACAAGTTGATGTCGGTTATTGCAGTTATTTTATATAAAGGAGTTTCACACATCGTTACTTACTGAATTTCAGAAAGATTTTTATCACATTTATGAAAACACATTACAAAATACCTCTGTTCCTCGTTTGAGACGCAATGTGCGCTGTGCTCAGACAGAATATAAACGACTTTTTGTTGAAATAATTGATAAGATATCTTCAGAAATTAATGGCCGATATTCTGAAATTTTGAAATTAAAATTTTTCCAATTGTTCAACAACAAACTAGTCGAAAAATATCGTTCAGATTTTCCTTTAGAGGCATTAGATTCATTATTTGAAAATTTCATAAACCATTTTGATAAACAAACATTGAAAAACCAATTGATTTCATTGTATTCCTCCCCTGAATTAAAAGACCGCAATGTTTTCGAACTCATTGACTTTATAAACGAAAATAGTCTTGAAGAGGCCTTTCCCCAACTTTTAAAGTTATCTTATCTTGTCGTAACTATTCCAGCTACAAGTTCCTCCGCGGAACGTGCTTTCTCATCTCTGAAGCGCATCCATACTTATTTGAGAAATAACCAAGGTCAAGAGCGTCTTTCAGACTTATCAATTATCGCGATTGATAAACAGTTATTGGTACAATTAAAACATTCACCAACATTTTACGCGGACGTAATTAAATCTTTCCTTAAGAAAGAGAGACGATTCGATTTAGAATATAAATATTTTTTTTTTTTAATTTTTGTACATAGTTTGTTTGTACTTTGTTCATGCTTTTCTTTTGTTCATGTATTGTATTGTATGTAAACATCTTTTTTTTTCGCTCAAGCAAACCCAAACGGCTTTTTTCAAAGCCACCGAAGGTATGCAATTGATGATATGTCATACAATTTATCTAGCAGTAGTATGCCTTCGGTGTACTTTGTTAAACACGTCCTCGACAGAACTGATTATAAAACTGAAGAGTGGAGACAGATCAAGATAGATGTATTTTTAAAACTGCTAAAAAACAAAAGCATATCTTGGCCTTGCCCCATTTTGGAGCCCTAGGCTTCGCCACTGATAATCAGTAACAACAGATACGAAGAAACTCATAAATCTTGTGTTTTAAATTATCCATTTTTAATTTATTCTGGTATTATTCAAATCAAACTAAATGAATACCAACTCTAAATAATCGATATCGATTTTTTTAAGAATCGAATATTGTACGTTCCCATTTTTTGGTTTGCATGCTTGGTGCAATAAGTCTGACAGCTGTCAAAATGTATTTCTTAGATTTGGTTGACTGTAGTATGACTATTTGTTCCCAAGTAAAAATACTCGTTAACAACTTTAAGCTTAGTGTTCCCAACAACATACACGTGATCTTTTTTTGTCCATGTTCATCCTAAGACCTATCTGTTGGGAGACACCATTGAGGTCATTGAGCAAAGTACATAGGTCCTCCAGCGATTCTGCCATAAGGACTATATTGTCGGCAAATCGAAGGTGAGTGATGTACTCACTATTGAGGTTAATTGTATCCTTTCCAGTCCAGTACCTCTAAAATGTCTTCCAATGAAGCGGTGAAGTTTCGGGGATATAACGTCACCCTTTCTTACTTCCTCTCTGCAGTTGGATAGGTTTCGTAGTCTGGTTCTGTACTCGGATAACCATCGCAGCTTTACTGTACAAACATTTCAGCGCTTCAATATACCGACAATCCACTTGGCAACGGTGAAGCGACTGCAGCACCGTCCAAATTTCGAAGGAATCAAAGGTCATAGTCCACATATGCAAGGCAGATTGTACACCTCGGTCTCTGTACAATTTATTGAAGAGTATGTATGTGGTCTATAGTGCTAAAGCTTTTTCGGAAACCGGCTTGTTCGGGAGGCTGGAAGTCGTCGAGTCTGCGTGCGAAAGATTCGTAATGACTCTCGAAAATACCACGTAGACGCGGCACAGAAGGGAAATTCTTCAAGAGCATTTTTGTCTTTCTTAAAGAAAAAGAACATCGTACTTCCGCTCCACGCCTTCTGAGTAAGGAGGTGGAGGAGGAGGTATTGTTAATACAATGCAAACATTTAAAGAAATTTCTTTTAAAAAATGAAATATATATTTCATTTATATCGGAGCCGGGATTTTGCCTGCTGTGCGTTGTATATGCGTTGTTAGTGCGTGTGTACGTTATAAGTGGGTGTGTGTGCGTGGTTAGTGCGTGTGTATGTATCGTATGTGTGCGTTGTTAGTGTCTGTGCGTTGTTTGTACGTTTGTGCGCGTTGTATGTGCGTGTGTGTGCGTCGTGTATGCGAGTGTATGCATTGTATGTGCCTGTCTGGGAGGTGTGGTTTACCTTAAGCTTGTCGAGGTGCTTGTGCATGGGCTCGTAGCCGAGGTGCAACATGAAGGGCAGCACGCAGTCGGCGGCCGCCTTGCGCACGTCGGCCGAGCGGTCCTCCAGGCAAGCGAACAGCAGCGGCACGCACACAGACAACTCCTCCCGGGCGAACGATTTCGGCGCCACTGACACAGTAACATGACATTCGTACATTATAGGCGCATTCGTGACCATATGAATGTTTAGAGAGATTTCAGATTTCTATTTAAATTTCCATTTAAATCAAAATTGGTTCATTATAATTTATAACGAACCAATTTTGATTTATTAAAATCAAAAATAGGATCAGCTATTTTCATTGCATTTGTGTATGTAATTACAAATGCAGTTGGTTTGCATGATCAACCAGGTGCATCAAACAGATAGCGAAGGAGGCACTGGTGAACAGAAATTTTAGTTAAATACAAGTGACTGTTAAGTATTTCTTTCTTATCATCATTCTTAGCATCATCATAACAAGCTATTAATTGTCATTATTTTATTACAACTATCAATCATATTTGATAAAAGCAGGCAAACTGGTTTACTGATACTTGTATCCAAATGGAATTAATTACTGAATGAAATGAATGTAAGATATAAATTAAAATTGTGGTAATAACTTGTTTCTTTTTTTTAAATAAGGAAGCCAAACAATATCCCCATGCCGTGGCATGGGGATATTGTTTGGCTAAAGCAATAACAAGTCCAGAATATAGAAAACGAACAAATGATCTCAAATAAGCTCCAAATAAATATTTTCAATCTAGATCAATTCTACATAATATCTAACCTCTACACACATATTAAAATTATGTTGCTGTAGACATATTCTATCCTAACATTATATTATCATTTATTTTTTCTAATACAGAAGAATAATTTTAATGTTCTAAAGCAAAAAACACTTAAGGCCGAATACGACGCGAATGACCTTGCTCGTTTCGCAGCAAACCACGCGCCGCCAGTACCTACGCTTTGTTTATATAGACATGTATAATACCTATAATCAAAGCCGTACGGGCTTTGATTATATTTGACTGAGCTAGCTCAGATGCAGAGTAATGAACAACACAGAGAGCATTGCTTACTTCTTAAATAAATTTTTCTTATTTATAATGTTAGTTCCTAGATATATGATAAAAACAAAAAAGGTAGATTATAAATTCTATACTTTATTCGTTATAAAATATTGTTCGAAAAGTTATTGAATTGATAACGATTTTTTTTCTTAATTGGTGCATCGTACATAAAGAACCTCATATAACTGAAAATGTTTGTTCTTGTGAGTCTTACAAGATGCCGTAATGCAAATTGCATAAATAATAAATGATGTCTATAGCCAAGCCCACGTAATTACGATAATTATGTTAAGTAATTATAAAAGAAAAACCATACACATCAATTTCATACCATTAGGAAGATGATCAGCTAACCACTGCAGCAAGGACGCTCTCAGTACAGGGGAGCCTGATTTTAAGGCGTCAAATATCATTTCGCCTTCGAAGGGCGTTTGAGGGCCTGCTTCGCGACACCACGTCTCAACGCACGACACGGCAGCCGATCGGATCCATTGCTTACTATCACCAAAGGCTGAAAGAAATACATGGCATAAAAACAATGTCTCTAAATTTCTTCGAACATATATTCTCCAACAAAACAAAGCCGTCTTCTAAGTAAAAGATAAAAATTGACTTTAAATTGTGATGATCTTTGAAATTGTCGGAACCATCTCTTTAGGTAAATCAGACCATAAAAATACATACACCCAACATATTATACTTTACAGAGAATTTGTCATAATCACACACATATTGGTGATCGGATGGACTATTGCTGTAGCCAGGCGTCACCTCACTTTTAACAGTTGGTTAAATCGACATTTATTGGAAACCATGTATTTTTCAATAGCTTTCACACAATTTGATTCAAAAGCAAAATTAATAAAAGCCTAGTTGATGCCTCACTTTCGAAATATGAAAAGGAGTAATGTTGTCTGGTATAATATATCGTCAGTTAATGTAGTTAAATATGTTATGAATGGATTTGTTTAATGATTCACAATATACTTTGCGGTTGTTATCTTTATATATAAAAATTAATTGCTGTCTGTTAGCCTCGCTAAAACTCAGTAGGTGTTGTTGTTGTCTAGATCTAGAAATCACCGGTGTGAAGCCATTGTAAATAAAATAATTGTTGCCTTGAAAAAGTTTAAAACCGTTCTACTTTTGGCTTTGTGTTAAAGTAAATGTACTGACTCACCTTGGAAAAATGATGGGAAGAATGTGCGCACATGTTGTTTTGATTTTGGCCCCATTGCAACGGCAAGAGATTCACATATATGCAGTGCGCTCTGGGCAAGTTTTGAGTTCGAGTCCACCAATCTTGCAGCTAAAGATGCTGGTAACTCGCCTAGAGTTGCCTTGATAGGGGACGAGGCAGTGATAATAGCTTTTAATTTGTCAAGACCTTCATTACGCACCTGGAATACATATTTGTCATTTTAAAAAAATATATATCTAGTTGAAATTTATATGAGTAAAAAAATTCTCCCGAGTAAAAAAATTCTTTACGAATACGGAAACAAAATGCTACTCTTTGAAGTTGGTCAAACATCTGAACACACAACCAACAACCTTCGGAAACTACAACTTCAAGCCTTCGTCATTATCCTCAAGAACCCCTACCATTCACTACTGAGAATCGTCTTCTGCAGTCTTCAGTTCCTGCAAGTCAGTCCAACTTGTCTTCGTCTCGACTCACCGCACATTTATAAGGCAGACTTCTGGCACTGCTCCGAACTACCACATGAGCGCTGACCGCTCCCCGGCATAACACCTTGCCCGGCGGGAGATCTCCCCTTTTCCATCCACGGCCACAAACACTTAGTACATTACATGATTGAACACTAAGCTTCCTTCCTAACTGAATTTGTGAGGTCACTGTGAGAATATAAACTATACTATAACTATATAAACTATGTTTTTTAATCATACCTTCCAGTTTTTATCATTTATTTCACTTATAAGCGCATCGGTAATGAGTGGAGCAATGTCGGTACGCGGTCTATTATCATCCACCACAGCAGGTTCCTCTTCTGTAGCATCCTCGCATCCGTCTTCCAATTCGTCACCAACTGAACCTTTACTTGCAGACTGAAAATTATAATGTACTGGCTAAGTATTGTTGAAATATACTAATGGTAATTTAATGGACACATATTACTTAGCAGCCTGTAAGATTTGCAGTTATCAAAATGTTGGCTAGATATCTCCTTCTCAGATTCAGATAGAAAATATTATACCGATCGCCAATCCAACTTTTTTCTATAGAAACACACACACATATCACATAATCCACCTGATGGTAAGTGAATGCTGCAGCCCATAGACCTCTACATTTATCCTCGATTAAGAATTAAAATGCATGTGCAGATGCGTTGGCACCCCTGAGAACCAAGATGGAATGCCTCATTTTTAAGACGAGGTCTGAGCACGATTTCAAATTCGTTTTGTAACCGCGCGTCCCGCAGTGAGCGGAGCGCAACCGCCAATCAGAGAGCGCAGGGTGACACAGCGTCCGGAACCGACCTTTCAACTCGAGCGCTGCCTGATAACTAAACGGGTTACCGCGGTCTATTTTTTATCTACCCAAAGCTGATTTTTGAGTTAATAATTACAAATCACACTTGATGATAAAGCTTTGAATTCGAAGATTAAATTTTATGCGGGTTTTCATCTAATTACTTATTATATAAATATGAAATAAAAAATCTAATCCGATACTTCTGTAAAACATTAGCTTGGCTATTTATTTTGTAAAAAAAAAAACTTGGTGTCGTCGCTGAAAAATCAGAGTAATTGTATTTACGCAGTTTTAAAATTCGACATTTTATAAAAATTAAAATAAACCAGGTTGTTCTCTACCTACAATATTTTTTATAGTTTATAAATATGATTTTATACCCCCCCCCCCCCCCCCACGTAACGTTTGGAAATACTTCTTTTGGTTGATTTTGGACTTACAGCCTGCCTTAACCCTTCAAGCGCCATGAAAATCCCATACAGTCGCAGGCACCCGGCAAATTCCGAGCGGTCGCATGCGACCGCACCCACCCACATCACTTAAATCCATTAAAACTTATATTTAGAGACTACTTTTTTATGCAGAAGTTTAGAATTATAAAATCTATACAAAATTCTCTATCCTGTGGTCTAAACGTCAGGTTTTACTTCATTACAAAAAGACTTTATTGTATTTTGATAACAAAAATAAACATACCAAGCGAATGTCGGCAGCGTGAAAATCACAATTATTTCAATATATATTACTAGATTTTTTTTACCTTAAAAAATAAATAATTATATTCACACAAAAACTTTCAGTAGAATTTTATAATAAAACACTATACTAAAACGCTAATAAAACACTGCAACACAATAACATGCACGTGAAAATGGCGTACGAAATGAACGTAGATTATAAATAAATATTCATAAGATAACAGTTTTTTTATTGCACTAGAGGGTAGAGTATTTCATATTAATTATATAATGCCAAACTTCTTCATAGAAAAATAGTCTCATGAGACTATTTTTCATGGCTAGGGATTTGACGGAATATGGCCGCGGTCTCATGAGACCGCTAGGGGGTTGAGAGGTTAAGTAAAAAGATCACCGGTTCTCCACACATACCATATGAATCACAGCTACATTAAGCTGCGAGAAATAGCAGAAAATCTTGAGATGGACGAATTCTATAACTATGAGAGCCTCATATTTAGCAGTGGACTTTTACAGATCGATATAATTACAATTTCGCATAATATATAGTTATTTCATTGCTTATAAAACTGGAATGAATAATTAATTCAGTTCAGACCGAATTAATTTACTTATGAGTATAATATGTTTAATTAAGTTTTTCAATAATTTATTAGTACAATATGCTAATACCTTACTAACTCGTCCCATTTGTCGTGTAGGTGTTGGCGGCGTGCTATTAGCATATTTGTCCAGTTCAAGACCTATCAATTGTTTAGTAGCGGCCTTCTCACTATCGAAGTGATTTATAAGGCATGGCCCAACATAGAGTGACAATATTCCAAGAAAGTTGACAGTCGACGTTCGTACATTAGGGTTTGTCGCAGCGAGCGCTTTCTTGGAATGTGCGACGATTGATTTTACATTCATCCTATAAAAAAGTTAATATTAATAGATATTATTCTTAATCGAAAATAAAATATAGTGCTTTATGTTAAATCATTGATAACCACAGTTAAGTAACTTATAAAGTATTGTTATTGATTTTTTGAAAAGGAAAGATGTCGCCTGTGTACTGGGTAAAAATATAGTTAATGGTTACTTAATACTACGTGAGCATTTATTCTGTGTACTTACGTAAACCCAAACTCTTTGATAGCAACGGACATCCAATTAAACATTTCCGACTGGACTTTCGGGTTTTTCTGTAAGTCCATGGCGTAAGTCAAACCTTCATTCAAAACATGCTCTAGTCCACATCCTTCAGCAAAGGCAGTGAGGCACTCCGCAGATATGGTTGAACATGAACTTTCCCCGAGCTTCGCCACAACGTCTTGAAGTACGAAGTCTGCTGCTATGCTGTGAAAATAGTTTTAACGTTGATAGTTTTTTATTCATTCATTACAGTCTATCAAAAGCTCAGTTCTAAGCATAGGACTTCTACATAGATTGCCTCATAGGGAGATTTTATCATAGTTGCAAGTTGTTACACTTGAAAGGCGGGTTAGTAACAGCAATTATTTTGGTTTAAAATCAGGAAGATGCTGCTTCCCATTCCGTATTACATTTCTCTTTGTCATCTATTACAACAACCATGAGATGAGGTAGCAGGTTCTCTAACAACGACACTACATGGATGCGGGGCTGTTACCAAAAACCATCATATATTTTTGTCCAATACTTTTTGAAATAATTATAATATCCTAACATTGTTATGTAAACAAACCATTACATCGTCATCATCATCATTACAGCCATTCGCAAGTCCACTGCTGAACATAGGCGTCCCCCTAGGAATGCCACAAAGCACAGTCTTGAAAAGGGGAGATCTCTAACTCCGCCATTGCCGGTCCCAAGCCCGGATGAGAAAGGAGGAGGAGACGGTTCCGCCGGAGAGAGTGGGTGTATCCGGTGGACTAACACACCCACCTGCGCTAGGACCTGCGCAGTCGAGCGCCGTACGCGGGGATGAAGGAGTCCTGGAGGGTTGAGCCGATCGTCGCTGGGGTATATAGTGGCGAGAGGCAACACGCCCTCTTTGGTCCGGATTTCAAGCTAAACGGTGGCCCTATCTGCTAGCCACAGATAGGGAAATGGCCAAGCGCCCCGTCAGAGGGTCGCAGGCGAGGGATGTGGGGGCTGCCTAGTTTTCCTGAAAAGGGGGCTGGGTGGTGGTAAAGGCCATGCTGACGGAGCAAGTGACAGTTTATTCGGGTGGTGGAGATGGGCCTTGTCAGCCCCATCTACCAGCTGGATCGAGCTCCCGATGTCGCGCTGTGAGCCAACTTCGCATCCCTATATTCTCCCGGTAATCCTAACGCCTGAAATAGGGCGTTCCCAAAGATGCGGGCTCTATGGAGGGTGGGAAGCCGGGGGGATGAATTTTAAAAAAACAAATAATTATGGACAATTTAAGGCCCAATAAGAAAGAGGGAGAGGTGTCAGAGGTGCTTACCAGAGACACCAAAGAACAAGGGGGAACCGTCACTAAACCGACGGTTCCACGGACAGTACCGTCCAGCGTAGGTGCCCCCATCAAAAGGACAACTACCTCGCTGAACGTTTCCAAAACCAGTTCCAAGGAGCTGGACGAGAAAAAAGAACAAGAGCCCGCGAGTAACAAAACTGCGGAGCCACTACGAACTGACGACTTTTTCTCTGGTGCCTGTCAAGTGGTGAGCCGTAAGGGGAAAGGCAAGGCACCCAAAAAGGTGACTTTCCGACCTGACGGACCATCAGGAGGGTCTATCCCTGCAGGCAGTAGTGGTAAGGCCAAAAAGAAGAACAAGAAGCAGCGGGAAAAAGGCCGAAGAGAACGAGCCGCATTGGCTGCTTCCGAAACTAAAACCAAGGAGGCTGGGCAAGCTACTGCGACTGGGGTGCTTGGAGCTGGAACCAGTAGCCGCACTGAAGCTGGGAAGGATAAAAATCCAACCCAAGTGGAAGTCGCGGCCGCGGGAACCAGATCTAGGATATCCGCCAGGAAGCAGCGAGCGGCCAAGCATCCTGGGAAGAAGGAAAGAGCAGCCAAAAGGATGCTGGAAGAGTCCACCTCGCCTAGAGGGGAACACAAAAAAATGCGCTGCAAGAACGAGCTACGCTTCCGCTGCTAGAGCAGATTTGGGTGTGGCCTTAACGTGTGCGCGTTCAGGTCACATTACGAAGGAAGTAGCAGACGACATCCTCGTAGCAATACAGAGGAAGATAATCAGCGAGGCGTGGAGTAGCCAGGACCCTGATGCGTCGGGCCCAGTTTTTAGGGGCAAACCCGTTTATACGGAGGGTGTCCTGAAACTGTGGTGCGACGATCAGAAGGCTCTGGACTGGTTGAAGGGGAATATTGCTACCCTCGATCTCAAATTCAACACCTTGCTGACAATAAAGAAACAGTCAGAGATACCACAAAGAGTCAAATGTGGTATCCTAATCCTTGATGCCCAAGGAGCCTGGAAAGACTCACGTGACATTGGTCGCGTGCTGGCGTACCAGAACCGCTGGGTTAACATCAGTGACTGGCTGTTACTCAAGGCTGATAAGCAGACGGACGGGTGGTTCCTCGTTATTTCGGTGCCGGAGGATCATATCCCGACTCTGATGAAGGCCGGACGCCGTCTCGCATGTGTATGTGGGGCGGTATACGTAAAATTCCAGGGTCGTGGAGGTAAATTCTTTGACACTCCACCGAGCAAAGAGGTAGAAAACAACCCGGAAGTTATGGATACCGGAGCCACGGTTACCGGTACAGCGGAATCACTGGAGGCCAAGCCCAGTGAAAAAACGGCCTGCACAACTGAGCCGAAGCCCCCAGTGGAGATTGGGCTCAGCGGCAGCTCAAAGAGTGACGAAGAGGACTGCATTTTGCCGACCACTTCCGGCTCGGTGGCTGACGATAAGACCCGAGATCTTCTGGCAGGCCTATTTTTGGGAGGGGACGGGGAAGACGCGATCAATGATGGCATGTCCTTCGTCCAAAACTAACCTAGTGCAGGCCAACCTCCACCACAGCGAAACTGCGTCGGCTCAATTACGCAAGTGGTTGGAGGTTCAAAGGACTGCCATAGCCTTAATCCAGGAGCCGTGGGTTGGGGCTGGTAAAATTAAAGGCCTAAACAACCTTAAAGGTAAGCTATTCTACAGCTCTGAACACGACAAGCCTAGAGCGTGTATTTACACTACTAAAGATATCTGTGCACAACCATTAACAGATTTCTGTTCTAGAGACATGTATGCCGTGAAAATACAATACACACAGGAGAGAAGATTAGTCGTCGCCTCGGTCTACATGCCGGAGGAAGACACTCCTCCCCCCTCATGACCTCGGCAGGCTGGTGAACTTCTGCGAGTGGACCGGACTAGAGGTTGTGATCGGGACAGACTCCAACGCACATCATCCCCTTTGGGGAATGGAAAAACCAAATGAACGAGGTAAGGTTTTAGTTGAATATTTATTTAGTACTAACCTAACCATTTTAAACATAGGTTCTGAACCTACTTTCATAAACAAACGCTGTCGCACTATAATCGACCTCACACTTGCAACAGAAGGAGCAGCCAAACTAATTACGGGATGGCATGTGTCAAAAGAGGCCTCATGCTCAGACCGTAGATGGATCTGCTTCGCACTACAGGTCGATATCCCCTCTACACCACCATGGAGAAATCCCCACAAGACGGATAAAACAAAATACCTAAATAGGCTGACGTCTTCGCTCGCGGGTTTTGAGGGGATAAATACTATAGCAGATCATATTCAGTCACTCCTAGAAGAACAGGTAGCAGCTGTTACTAAGGTCATGATAGATAGCTACCATGAATCATGTCCAGAAATCACTCCACCAAGGCATGCCGAGGTAAAGCAACAGTGGTGGGGTGAAGAACTCGATAGGAAACGTAAGAAGGTAAGAAAAGCCCTAAATAGGGCCATGAATACCTCAATGGATGAAGACTGGCTACTATATAAGAAAGCTAAGTCTGAATACAAAAAATGTATCAGGTATCGACGCTCGACTGGGTGGCGTAAATTCTGTGGCAAGATAGAAACCTGCGAACAAGCTAATAGGATAAGGAATATTCTAGCTAAACAGAACACGTCGGGATCCATGTCTCTAAAGAAACCCGACGGTAGCTACTCAACATCGCCGGATGAAGCCCAACGCATCCTAATTAAAACGCACTTCCCAGGTTGCTGCATAACCCAGGAGGCAAACCGGCATGATAACATACCGACACCAACAGTAGAAGACTGGAATTTAGCACAGAGAATGGTAACGATGGACAAAATCCATTGGGCCATTCAGTTTCCTCCCCTATAAGGCGGCAGGACCTGACGGCATATTCCCGGCACTCCTACAGTGGGGGGGTAAAGCCCTAATAGTCAGACTTGTTGCCATAATGAGAGCCTGTCTGGCTCTTAAATATGTTCCTAGGGGATGGAGGGAAGTGAAAGTCACATTTATACCCAAACCAGGTAAGAGCGATTACACTGACCCTAAATCCTACAGGCCCATTAGCCTCACATCCTTTCTCCTAAAGACGATGGAGAGGATGTGTGAAAGGGAATTAAGGGGGGTCGGCGCTAATGAACTTACCACTACACGACAAGCAACACGCCTACAGTCTAGGCAAATCAACAGAATCGGCACTTCATCAGGTAATTACAAAGATTGAAGAGGCCATCCAAAACGACGAAATATGTCTAGGTTCCTTCATAGATATAGAAGGTGCTTTTGACGGAACGAACTTCTCCAGCATAAAAGGTGCACTCAGTAGACATAAAGTTGAACTAGCACTGATCGACTGGATAGTTTGCATGCTCAGTACACGAATAATAAAGATTGCTGGTGAATCTCAAACAATCCTAATTAAGAAAGGCTGCCCGCAGGGTACGGTTCTCTCACCTCTCCTGTGGAATATGGTCATTAATGAACTCATCAGCAAATTAAATACTAATCACTTCTATACAGTAGGTTATGCTGATGACCTGACAATACTGGTCTCGGGAAAGACAGCAAGCATAGTGTACGACCTGACCCAAGCGGCTCTCCGTATAGTGGAGAGATGGTGCAGGGAATACGAATTAACCGTCAACCCAAATAAAACGGTTTTAGTAATGTTCACACAAAAACGAATGCTGAATAACTATCATCTTCCAAGTATTTTCAGCACAAAACTCCAGCTATCCTCTGAGGTAAAATATTTAGGTCTTACCTTGGACAGCAAACTTAACTGGAATAAACACATAGAAAACAAAATCAACAAAGCTAGTATAACTTTCTGGCAATGCAGAAACATGATTGGCAAAAGATGGGGACTGACGCCAAAAATCATACTTTGGCTTTACAAAACTGTAATTCGGCCCATGATCACATACGGCGCTCTGGTATGGTGGACCAAGGCAAATGAAGCCACCACAATTAAGAAGCTTCAGCGCTACCAGAGACTGGCATGTATGGCTGACACAGGCTGCATAAGAACTACGCCAACAGCAGCCTTGGAAGCGATGCTGGAGCTAACTCCGCTTCATCTACATATACAACAAGAAGCGACTTTAGCTGCCATCAGACTCAAGACCCTAAATCTTTGGAGTAAGAATAGTGTCCCTCATACAGGCATAATTGATAGAATTCACTCAGAAATTCCTATCCTACAAGCCAAACACGATAGGACTTTCCTAAACAATTCGTTTTCGATAAGAAATACAAGATACAATTAAATGAAAACAGCCAGCCGGAAGGATTAAGCCCAAAAGAGCTTAGAATTTTCACCGATGGTTCTAAAACAAATAAAGGTGTAGGTTCTGGAGCTTTCTCTGAAGACCTCAATATTCACATATGCACACCGCTGGGTACCTATAACACGGTCTTTCAGGCGGAATGTATGGGTATCATTCAAGCGGCCATAGCAATAGATGCTAGGAAGGTTAATGACTTCCCCATCAGAATACTGACCGACAGTAGGGCGGTACTACAAGCTCTGAGTTGCAATGGGGTGAACTCGGGACTAATATATGAATGCCATCAACGATTAAATGAGGTATGTAAAAACAACAATGTGACTCTGCAATGGATAAAGGGACACAGTGGATCCAGAGGCAACGATGCAGCAGACGAACTGGCCAGAAGAGGATCGGCTCTGGCCACTATAGGGCCGGAACCAATCATACCAATCCCCTTTGGTAACGTTCGTTCAATGGTACGTAGACACTTCACTAATCAACACGCTCAGCTTTGGAAAAATCTAGTAGACTGTAGACAAGCTAGGGAGGCCCTACCTGTAATAAACAGTCGCTTAACCAAAGTTCTAATGAGACTGAACAAGCCGCAGATCAGGGTAGTAACAAGTGCTATCACAGGACACGGCACCTTTAACAAACATTTATTTACTATAGGTGTTACAATAGTCCCCTGTGCAGGGCATGTATGGGGGAGGAAGAAACGGCGGCCCACGTGCTACTGAAATGTCCGGAGGTCGCTACGTACAGGGCTAAACATCTCGGCACGCCGGGATCACTCCCCCGAAGTTGCATGCAACATCAAGGGACTGTTGAGCTTCTTCGGGGAGATCTCATGGCTCGAATAATCACATTATTCCTGCCCACACGCAAAATACGCGCATAGACGTGGAGTTGCGGAAAACAGCCCGTTGGAAACTAAACTAAACTAACTAAAGGGGAGATCTCCCGCCCGGCAAGGTGTTCTGCCCGGGAACCGGCCAACGCTCCCTGTGATACTTCGGAGATATTCTATATATACTGTTTTTGATAGCGTGATTTAATTTTTAACTTTATCACGCTCTCCATAGCTCGCTGAGCGAACTTGAGCGTCCTCATACGGCCAGCAGTGAAGGACTACGTCTCAGTTCCTTAAGTCATCATTGGCAACACGCACTGGTTGTAAAGTCTCGTTTTCAGGTTTTGAGGTATAGCTGACGAGAAGATATGCCGTAATTTCCTGACCGAGCCGAGTTGAATCTGACGATTGACCTCTGGCTCGAAGTTGGACTCACCAAGTCGGACTATTTGTCCCAGGTAAATACTTGTCAACAACTTCGAACTTAGTGCTCCCAATAATTCTACCGGCATAGGTGTCACATTGTTCATCTCAAGACTTATCCGTTGGGAGACACCAATGAGGTCATTGAGCATAGTGCTTAGGTCATCCGGCGATTCTGCCATAAGGAATATATCGTCGGCATATAGGAAGGTGAGTGATGTACTCGCCATTGATGATAATACCTTATCTAGTCCAGTTGCTTGAAAACGTCTTCCAATGCAGCGGTGAAGAGTTTCGGGGATATAACGTCACCAAGTCTTACACCTCTCTACAGTTGGATAGGTTTCGTACTCTGATTCTGTACACCGATAGCCATCGTAGCTCTATTGTGTAAGCACTTCAGCACTCCGATGTAACGACAGTCAACTTGCCACCGTTAAAGGAACTGTAACATCGCCCAAATTTCAACGGAATCAGGCTTTCTCATAGTCCACATACGCCAGACAAAATGGATGATTGTACTATTCGGTCTTTTGTACACTTTGCCGAAAGGTATGTATGTGGTCTGTGGTACAAATCCCCTTTCGGAAACCGGCTTGTTCGGGAGGCTGTAAGACGCGAAGTCTGTGTGCGAGACGATTCCTAATGACTTTCGAAAACAGCACGCAGACGAAGCTCAGAAGGGAAATCGATCTGTAGTTCTTCAAGAGAGCGTTGTCACCTTTTGTGAACAACAAGACGACCGCACTTCTGCTCCACGCCTCCAGAGTAGTGCCACCATGGAGGACGCTGCAGCTTCAGCTTCTGAAGGACTTCAAGTACCGGTTTTCCACTCGCTTTCAGATGCTCCGCTGTAATTCCATCCTCTCCCGGGACTTACAGTTTTTAAGGTAGGTGCTGGAGAGCCATTCTACTCTCGCTCAGACTGACATCCGGGATATAATCGGAATAGTGTCGGATAAGAATTGCTCTTGGATCGTTACAATTGCGTGTGGCTCCAACGATGATGTGTACAGCTGCCCATAGAACCTCTCAATACCACTCGAAATCTCAGGAATCGCGAAACGATGCTGCCACACTCGGTCTTCAGCTACGACAGTTGGCTCTTTCTGGCAGACAGATCTCTGACAAAATCTTTGGAGCCCTGGTGCCACTCAATCGCTTCTACAATACAAGCTGTATTAGCGCACGAGGGGGACAGAGCGTTGATTTCATTAGACGAGACCTCTCCAACTTAACGTTTAGGTTCAGTGTGCCTCTAACCATTCGGTGATCGCTGCCAATTTTCACCTTCACGATCACTGAACAGTTGGCTTCTGGTCGTCATAATGAAGTCAATCTCATTTTTTGTCGTACCGTCGGGGTACCAGGTCCACTTCCTGTGGGGCCGCTTCTGGAAGAAAGAGTTCATCACAAAGAGTCCCACTTTCTCCATGATGTCGGCCAGCTGCTAGCTCTTGGGTTACATTGCCCTATTCCAAATTTCTCTACCTTCAGCTCTCCGCTTTCTCTTGTGCCTAGTTCTGCGTTGAAGGCTCCCATCAACACCATATAGTGGGTTTTGGAGGAATGCATGGCTCTAGAGAAAACCTCATACAATTACTTCGGCACATCGAGATGGTGCGTAAACCTGTATGACCTTCAGTAAATACCGTTTGGTGATTCTGAGTATTAGGTACGCAACCCTCGACGACACACTCACAATCTTAACAACATTGTTGATGAGTCTTGTGGACGATAAATCCAACACTTCCTTGGGACAGATGGTCGCCCTCCCAGTGATAGAACAAGTTGCCGGATTCGAGAATCACCTCGTGGTGGCAACCTCTAACGACACCTATGGGAAGATATGGGGTAGTGGATATTCTCAACCGCCACTACACGGGAATACAAAACGATTACATAGTATTTTTATAATATAGGAATGAGCACCTGCAACCAAATTCAGTCAAACAATGAAGGCTAAGCAGCCTGTACGGACTCTACCACCATTCAAACTAGAATAAATAGAGAGTGCATTGCTGTTGGGAAGCAGAAACGACTACAGACCTAGTCACTTCGTAGGGTCACAGGATAGGTACAGTACAAATAGATACAAGAAAATAAAATTATAAGTATTTAAAACCGCTTGTTAAGAAAATAAAATTAAAATCTGGTAAATAAATGCTTATAAGATTATTTGAATATAAATAATACTTACGTGGATATCGGAAAATTTTCTGTTATATACTTGCAAGCTTCTAAGCGGGCTTTTAATACTTGCACATTAGTATCTTTAAGGCCAGGCTTTTTGTTTAGAGTGCGATACAGAACCTGTGCTGAAGTGTCATCGGTAGTCAACCCTTGTATAGTTGAATAGAGGCTTTGGACAGCTGCAAGTCGGTTCTTCCAATTGCCGTCTCCTAAGCCTGGTACATAATTATTATCTATCATGAACTTGATAGGGTAAAATTGGTTGTATTGCATTGTAAATAAATATCTTGCTTTCATGCAATTTATTTATCAAAAAATATTCATGTTAGTTTCTATATTTAAAACCTTAAAGCGAGAATCAATTTAAAATAAAATTATTAAGTGCAATTGCACCAAAACTCATGCACCACATGTTTGGTGGTCCAGTAAAACAGATGTTTATCAGCTACCAAATTCTTAAAAAAGGAAGAGGTATGTGCCCAGTAGAGGGACTTTTTAAGCCACCACAGTACTTTACCTGTAAGTACATCTCCTGCAAACAATCTCTCTGCTCTGGCATCAACTTCTTCCTGAGATAACTCCTGTTCCCTTGGCGGGCTGGGTTGTGCCCTAGCTGCAGTTTTTTTTGCACCTGTAGCTGGCTTTTTAGTTCCTGTGGTGGGTCGTTTCACAGACTTGGGCTGATTCGAGCCTGCCGATGCCTTGGTGTCTCCTTTGCCAGCCACTGGTGTAGTCTTCGGTTTGACTTCCTTCTTGGGTGCAGCTACTTTAACTTGGATTACAGCCTGAAATATGGAAGACCTATAACTAAGTCAATCTGTCTCCTATCCACTCCTATTAAAGCATTAAATAGGGATTATAAATACTTATTACTCTATTTAAAAAGTGTAGTTTTGCAACATTCTAAAAATAATAATAATGTTTCAACGGAGACTAGACATCGGCACAGGACAGGACTATAGTGCTCCATGTATATGTAAGCACACATGCACTCACTATTTCCTCACGCACATAGTCCAATGGGTCAGCAATCGGACACTATCGGGGAGATATTACGCGCAGGGTTAACGTCCTTTCAGAGGCAGTGGTGAAGAACCCCCAACTTAACTGGGCTGCTACTAAGAAATTCTAGACAGAAAAACTCAATAATGGATTTTTCTTTGCTCGGCCCGGGATTTGAACTTGGGATCTCACAATCAATAGCCACTTTTATGCCCACTAGGCCAACGAGGCAGTCAAAAAATATTTTAAAAAATAAAGTAATTAAAGACCAAGCTTATAATATTATGATGTGATAATATCTGATGAAACAATGAATTTTTTTGGTGAATTGTAAATTAAAAATAGAACTAAATGCTAAAGATTTGTTCACCTTTTCAGCGAATTCCTTAATTTTTTGCTCTTTCAAATTGTCCAATTTACCAATATGGGGCGCAATGTTCTTCTCTCCAACCAACTTAGTTGCAGTACCGAGCGCCTCTGCCGCCGCGTCTCGAACCACGGGATCTTCAGGCCAAGGAATTTTAATGTTAATTCGGTATGTAAGCATTTTATGATGACGTTTTTTATATTTTTACTTTATTTAAACAATAATTTTAATTGTGTTTTTTTACAAAGTAGTAAAACTGTTAAACAGCTATTCAAACTGTTATTACGCTGAAGAATTCGTTACCTTTGTCAATCAAGCATAGATAAGTAATAATAAACTCGTAAATTGACATTATAAATAGATATGATATATTATTTACATTAACCAAATACAAACATCGTTTATCGCGTATTTTATAATGATTTAATTGTGAATTGGATCATAAAATAGGAAGATAAAAATGGTTTTCGTAGTCGTAGCGTAAATAACTATTGTTTACATTGTATAAGTTAATGAAGTAAGCTCACACGAATTAGTTGATAATTTTAAAAAATTCAATGGGCACAGGCCCACCTTTGCTCATGGACATACTGGTCAAGTGCCCCGGCCACGCGGTCCATGAGGCCCTCCAGTTCCTACTCCCATTTCTATTGCCTATTGTTCATAGGCCTATGACAAACAGGGGCTCCTTTAATCCTAAAGTGCACAGAGCTTCCATGGGTCTAAGACGGCTCTGACAACAATGGTCAGCGCAAGGACTATTGTGAATCACAGAGAACTTAATTTGGGTCAAGAGAGACTATTTTGTATTGATTAATTAAATCAAAAACCAGGCAAATATACAATCATATTTTATAAATAAAATAAACAAAAATGTTGGCATGTATTGACTTCTTGAAAAGCAACTACCACCACATCTGTTATATGGTAGAGTTAATGTATTTAATTAATAAAAAAATTATGCACTTTGGGCTAATTTTGCGGTAAAAATTCATGCAAGCAAAGTCCAATTTATTTATTGTTAAGCTTAGCGAAACTTTATTTTTTAATTAACTAAACACGGAATACATATAGCAATCAAGAAGAAACACTTTCTTAAGAGATATTCGAACAATGACCGGCGGGAAACTCCTAAATTGGATAGCGTGACCGTTAAGTCATGGATCGATTGACATTATTGGTCTGACGACAAGTGCGTTAGTAAATCGTTTCAACGTATTAAAAACATAACAGTACATTTTATTTATATATATATATATATATATATACTGACAGATAGGATATAGATTAAGCATCTGGCTGCGGCGCTGCGGAACCACAGGTTCAAATCCCAAACAAGTGTTTGTATGATCTTTGAGTGCGTACTGAAGACCTACTACGTCCGACACTCACTGAGCAACATTCTGCTCTTTATCGCATAATATATGATTTGAATTTCGACAGATTTGAATTAATTAATTTATTTAATCATGATGTTTGTATTTAATTTTGTAAAATATCAATGCCATATATTTTTCCAGACGGTACAAAAGCTATCCAGTATATTTTTTTTTGTAAAAATGAAACTAAACCCATATCATTCTTTTTAAATTTTATTGTTTCTTTTTGCTGTTACGATTTACATCGATTATCAATTAATCCACATGTCAATATGATTGACATGTGGTTTATTGGTAGAGAATACCTAAAGGCATTAAGTCCGCTAACTATACTGTATTGTACTTTACGTGAAATAAAGATTTTCAAATATGAATTTCAATATAAAATAGACCTAATGGTGATAAATATAATGAATTTGGAAAGGACCGTTTATCTTATTCAGACTTATGAAATTTGTATTATTAAGGTCATAGAATATTTATTTAATTATTTATAAGGGTCACCGACAGATGATACACAAATACTAAAAACAAGAACCAAGCATTGTGAGAAACATGCAATGTGCTCACCCAGTTATAGGTAACCACAGCTAACACAGAGTAATGTTGCGAAAAGTTAATTATCGTAAAATTTAATAGTACAGTAGCAAAATTGCGTATTTGTGAGAAATTAAAAGGGGTTTACATTTATCATCTATAATACACAATAGAATGGCTGCAAACCTTATTTTGTGGCAGAACCGGTATCACCGGGAACTCACAAACGGTTACGTCACTATTAGAAACACAATTCGCTCATTGGTCACACCATGAAGGTTAGAGAACAGGAGAACGATCACTACGTACTAAAGCATAGCCCGCCTGTCCTTGAAAATTGTAGAAAGTATAGCGGCGCTGACGTCGGTGAGTAGTAACTGCGAAGTTAGCTGTTTATAAGTACAATTAGATGAAGTTAGTTGAATAATGTACAAATTTTCATTTCATTTTTAATGAGAAAATTTTCATGCTCCGTAATTTTGTATCTTTTGACAAAAAGAAACATTAAAAAATGGAGAAATATTTTATTGTGCGTGGATGTGCAAGTAGTTTAGCATCTGATTGGAAATATAGACCCAAAATGACGTTTATTGACCGAAGCTCGAGCGATCGCAGCGCCTCACTTATGGTGTCCATATTTCTGGACACTATTTTCTATGGTGATCGTTCTCCTGTTCTCTGACTTTCATGGGTCATACCAATTTCAATAAATATATGTTACAAACGCATTTTAATATTACATAAAATCAGACTTTAATCCAAGGCAATAACAACGGATTCACAACGAATCTTTACAGAACGTCTCTTTCTGAAAAGAAAGAGAAGGAATAACTGTGTTGACAGATTGAGCGAATTTGCACATTTTATACTTTTGATTGATGTTAACAATCATTATTAAAAAGAAATCGTTTACATTTTAATACATATTTATTTGTAAATATAATGTGCAAGCTAATTGCAAATACAATCGCAGTAAATATTTTTTTTTCTTATTATTAATAAAAAGTTTAAGAAAACCTTAAAGATGCGTAGCATCATATTAGTCTATGCGTTTAAGCAAACTGTAGTACATAATTGTATCACAGCTAGGGATGTACTCTTGATTAGTGATTTACCGGTAACCGAGGTTACCGGTAAATCACTTGGTCGTTTAACCAGGGGTTACAAACCTTCAATATATAGGCACATTTTATAAGTAGTACTTTCTTTAATTATAATGATTTTTTATAATGATTGATATAATATACATTTATTAATTATTATTAAAAAGTTATTTAAAAGATCGCTATAGAAGAAAAATCATCTATTGTTATAAAGTACTTTATTCATTTAACAACAAAAAACATTAATTTATAACACATATAAAGATTCAAGTGATAACGACACCGAATAAGTACGTACTTATTTAAAAGATAAAACTTTATTTTCAATATTATTTATGAACTTTATTTTTATTCGTTGCATGCGGACCGGCCCAAAAAATGACGCATCTCTAGCTGCCATTGTCACGTTTCTTTTAGAACGAACTGACGTAACGCGCGTTTTGTTTATTTTAAAGGGATGAATTTGCAAAAGCTCAATATGGTGATTATATATTGCTTCAAATATATTTTTTTTATATGAAATTGTTATTAAATGAATTGCTGCGTTACTTACCATAAATTGAAATATAAAATATAACACATTTTTCGCGATGTACCGTAAGATTTTACGATGTTTATAGGAACCACAGACAATACTATTTAAGAAACAAAAAAATACATATGTGCTGACCTAGAAGTGTGAATAATATCAATATTTATATTGTTCATGTAAGTTACGCCTTTTGACACTCGGCTCATATCTGAGGTCATTGTCCGTTTTTCTCAATCGATTTGGCACATACTATAGATCTGTTTTGTTGCAGGTTATGTTCTGCATGTTTCTACACGAATATTGAGTAGTGAAAAGTTGAATGACGTGTGAACTGCACTCCGGAAAATTGCAGGCGCAGTCGTTTTAAAATATCTTAGACTTTTTTTTTCTTTCATACATGTCAAAACTAATAAAATAATATCTCTTCTTGTAGTTGCTCAATTAGGGAATCTATACTAATATCGTATACTGTTTAAGTGCTCCAGACAATGGTAAGCAACGACAATGGTGCAAGACATCTGCTACTGCAATCGTGAGTCCACCTTCAACTGGCATAACAAATTCCGTAATTGACACCAAAAGCTACATACACCATATAATTTGTATTTGCTAGTTTTAGTACCTAGTGTCTCTAGAACTTGGTTGAATCTGACCAAATTAGATTTTTAACATTTAATTACAGCCATGATGAATATTAGAAAAAAATTATAATGCTATATAAAGTATGTATATTTCTTTTTTTATAAAAATGAAATGACAAACAAACTTATAATCCACCTGAGTCTGACCTGATCCACCACACGCAAGTGGCTTCTGCAGTCTATGAACACCTGTGGCCAGCTTCAATCAAAGAAAGCTACAGATGCATTGCCATAACTCTGAGGAATAAGATGGAATGCCTCACAGACTAATTATACTGGCTCTCTGTTCCCTTCGGAACAGAACACAGCAGTGAAGGCACGAGAAGGTAGAAAGAATCCACTAAGAGACAACTAGTATATACTATAGAAATGTTTGTGTTCACAAATCTTTAAAAGTATTTCATTTGACTAATTTCAATAATATATTATCCCAAAAATACAATTTACTAACCTGCACTTTCCAACAGTTTGAGTAAAGAAGCAACATAAGCCTTTATTAGTTTCTTGTTGAACGCTGCCGGCTGAGTATGGCACAACGCACGCGCTAAGAATAAGGCGCTTTCTGCTTTTATCGATGGATTCTTGTTGTCAAACGCCGCTAGCATGTCTTCCATTATCGCTTCTAAATTAGTCTATTGAAAATAAAAATAGTTTACAATTTTTTATCTCACAAATTTTAATAGAAAACCAGAACAGAAAGTGTAATTAATAATTTTTCAATTATTGGCACTTCTCAAAACTAAAACCGCTGTGCTGATCTTTAGATTTTTATTTGATTCAGACATACACTCTACGTCTTATAAAAGATTGTTTTGGTTTTTTGTATTATTTAAGCTATTCATATAGATGACTTTTGTGATTATGGTTACATAGGTCAAAACTAAAAATAAAAGCTTGCAACGAATGCTTCATAATTTTAGTCTTCTCTTGGCACAAACTTATTCCTATACTCTTGCAGATTACATTACTGACTACAGTAACTTGAGTTGACTATAAGCTTAATCAAATATTAATGTAAGAATAAAAATGAACAATAACACTTACACAAGGGTAAATAGCATCAATGGCGTCCCTCAAAGCAGTTACAACATTGGCCTTCTTCTCTTTAAATTTCTCCAGAATAGCTTGCACACAAGCAACTGCATAAGGCTGAAATTTTCCTCGAAGGCCACTAGCTACCATTCCGAGTAATCGTCCACCAAGTGCAACTAACATCACATTTATGTCTTTTGTTATAACCTGAACCAATAAACAAATCAAATAATTGTAAATGCAATAACCTGATAATATTATTTTTAAATAAGCTCAATAAAGTCAAGAAAGTATGACATAATAATGCTGACCTTTTTCAAAGCTCTGACCAAATCGGCATAGTCTCCTGGTTCCAACTTGGGGGCATTCTTTAGAAGCACCTCCAATGCATCAAGAGCTTCTTTGCGTTCTTGCCATTTTTTTGCCTCTAGTTTATCGTAAAAATCTTTAGGTAATTTTGACAAGATTTCCACAGGGTCAAGAAGATCGTAGGGATCCATATCAGCGGAGTCTCCACCGCCCGTTTCAGCGTCGTCGTCATCACCTCCGCCTATGAATTACGGTGAATTTAAAGAAAATTTCTCAAAAAAAAAAAGGATGTATTAAAAGTACAGTTTGTTTCTAAATTACAAGTGATACGTATTAAAGAATGGTGAAAGGTATACTGATCCTTAATGTTAGTTGGATCTAATGAAGTCAAAGCTTCGTTTCCCTCCTGCTCTTACTTGGCAGAATACAAAATCGTTTTCAGTGCCTAAAAGATTGCAATACAGTGGACCACATAAATGACAAGCTTGTGTGAACAGTCTATGCGGTCGGAGATAAATTCTGCAAGATCTGCCGCAGGATAACCCTAAACCCTTTGATCACACTTATACGGGCATCTGAACAGACATATCTCCAAACGTAAACTTATGCAATTACAATATAGTTCGTATTGAACACGCGAGCCATCTGTGTGCTGAAAAGAGTCAACTATGGAAGTAGAAGACTAACTGTGGCAGCATCATTTTCAAAACACCTGAGATTTTGAAAAAGATTGAATTTCTACGGACAGTTGTACCGTCATCGTTGGAGAGTGACAATCTAAGAGCAAGTCTCATTCGACAAGCTTCTGGAAGCGGGTGGAAAAACCGTTACGTAATGTCCTTCAGAATCTTTTCAATTCTGTGCTCCATGGTGTAACTACTTCGGATTCGGAGGTGAGGAGCAGCAGCGCGGTGGTCTTGTTTTTCAAGAAAGGCGAAAACGCTCAATTTAAGAACCACAGACCGATTTCCCTTTTGATCCGCGTCTCCCGAACATGCCTAGCTCGGCAAATTGCATAGAAGACCAAAGGATACAATCTGTCACCCTATTAGGCATAGCCAAGGAGGTTGTCAGTATATCGGAGTATTAAAGTGTTTGTACATTAGGGCGAGGGTGGCTATCAGAGTCCCAGAGTACAAAACCTATTAAACTGCAGAGGTTTAAGGTAGACTGGCTACATCCCTGAAACTCTATGTCACTGCATAGGAAGACGTTTAAAGGTTTTGGGCTGAAAGTTATATGGTAGAAGCATCAATGGTGAATACATCACTCATAATCGATTTGCAGATGATATAATAGTAATTATGATAGAATAGAGATAATACGCGGTAGAGTCATGCTGCAGTTATATTAGAAGTTTAGTTGTAGCACAAATGGGTCGGCTCAACCGGGGAAGGACCACGCTCTCACAGAATACCAGCGTGAAATAGTAGCTTAATGCTGCTGTATTTCGTATGGTGAGTGTAGAGAAACGGAGACCCTTTTTACTGGAAACGAGGCATTCCATCTTAGTCCTCATGGGTGACAATGCATCTGCATTTTGATTCGTAATCGAGTATAGATGTAGATGTCTATGGGCCACAGCAACCACTTACCATCAGGTGGACTGTGTACTCATTTGTCACCACATCCTATAAAAAAAATAACCTGTAAGCTAATAGCACTACGCTCAATGGCTACAATAGTATTTTCCAACGGATATAGGACTTAAGGTGAACTTGGAGGAGACGAAGGTCATTCGTAACATACATGTCATACCTATGCTGATATAGTTTTTGGGAACATTAATTAAGGCCAACTAAACTATTCAAAAAATGCGCCGGCGCTGATGTAGCTGCAAATCTGTGTAAAAGCTTTCCCATGGCCAATGATGAATACATCACCCACATTCGATTTGGCGACGAGATAGTCACTATGGCAGAATCACTGTAGGACTTCAGCACTATGCTCAATGACCTCAACAGTGTCTCCCAAAGGACAATTCTTTCCTCCTCCCCCATACATGCCTTGCACTGGAGATTATCTCTAACACCTATAGTAAACAAATGCTTATTAAACAGCCACTTCCTGTAATAGCACTTGTTGTTATCTACCTATTTTTTTTATATTTTTTTGTTATATATATATATATATATATATATATATATATATATGATTTGTGGCTTGTTCAATGTCATTTAGAACTTGGTTATACAACTGCTTATTTCTAACAGGGCCTCCTTAGCTTGCCTAAAGTCGAATAGATTTTTCCAAAGCTGAGCGTGTTGATTAATAAAGTCTTTACATATTTACGGTGTACATAATATGTGGATATTGAGGCTATTGAGAGTATTTCTGTTTGAAACATTAAAAAATAAAACAACATGATAGACATAAATATGAGTACCATCAACAGCATCAGCAGCCTGTGTATCTCGCACTCTCTGCTGCTGTGAGCGAAGATATCGGGTGGGCTGGGCACCTCCTCCAGTACTAAATGATTCTCTTAGCTCTTGCTGGACTACTGCTTGTAGGCTTGCAATATGTGGTTCTATCGCAGCTCCGATCCATCTGAGTAATAAATCAATCACAAGCACTATCACTACATAGTATAAAATGGGTCAGACAATCAGTCTGTAGAAAGTGCTAATCTCAAAACATCAATAATTGATTTTATACAAACATACACCCTTTTTACTGGAAACAAGGCATTCCATCACTGTCCTCAGGGCTGGCAACGCATGTGCCTTTTGGTTCTTAATTGAAGATAAATGTAGATGTCTATGGGCCACAGCATCAACTTGCGATCAGGTGGACCATGTGCTCCATTAAAAAAATCATCATTTGCTAATGCTAATGCACATGCATTGCAAGTATATCAATTAAGCTATCACCCAGATAATATGAGGCACAATTTCAACCACTATCCATGTGGATGACATTGACTTAACCATTAATTACTGAGATATTTGTGAGAGACAGCCACACATTTAAAACCAAAATATCGTCATACCCGCACAAACTTGCCCCTCCCTGTACCTTCCTAGATATAGAGATACATGCGAAACGAAGGTGAGCAGACTCATGATGCAAAAGAAGTAAAAAATTTACTTCATAATGTCTGTGAAACATAGCGTCAATGTCAATGTAAGTTTTTACTTTTTTGTTTTAGTTATAAACAGCTGAGTCAACATGATTTGGCGGTCCCTCTAGAAATCTTTGAACCGAACTGCCCGATCAAGTTAAAAAAAGTATAGATTAACCAAAGACAACTTGAACTAATAAAAAAATATTATATGTGCCAAAAATTAAGGACAACAGAATGTGGCGATAGTGGAGTTATTTACGTGGGTCAGTTAGCTTAACTAGTTATGATTCAGTCTATGTAATTTTCTATATAGTCAAATATAATTTTTGAAATGTCTTATAATATAGAATTCTTATATTCAGTTTTTACAGTAGTTCTGTTAACCCACAAACATGGTTAAGATTCATTAATTTGCATGTATTGATTGCATTTGAATAGTAATTGGAGTGGAACTGCATGTTACTTTTTGCTATTTATTTTATTAACATAAACACTTTCCAAGAATTCTTCGTCTACATTAATAAACAACGTCAACATAATTCTCTCTATGAAAAAGTATGAGCAGCTTTTTCATCAATCAAAATTAGTAATAACTAATAACACAAGATAGAGCCACACTGCAGCTATATTAGTAGTAGTAGCACGTATGCGTTGCTAGTTGCCACGACCGGGGTAGGACGACGCTCTCACACAAAACCAGTGTATATTAGCAGCAATATGCTGCTGTGTTTTGTATGGTGAGAGTAGAGAATCGGTAACTCTGTTTACTTGGAACAAGATATTTCATTTTAGTCCTCAGGGGTGACAATGCATCTGCATTTTGTTTCTTAATTAAGATGTAGATGTCTATGGACCACAGCATCTACCAACCACCAGGTGTACTGTGAGCTTGTTTGTCACCCTTGTTCTATAAAGAAACACAATGAGTATGTAGATGTATAAATCACAGATTTAAATTTAAATCTGAATAAAATAATTCTACACAAGTTTTAACTATTCCTTACCTATGCATTTCAATAACTAATGCCTTCATTTCGTCTCTCACAGTCTTATCTCTGTCTGCAAGTAAAACGGGTATTTTCTTGACCATTGGTTTAATAGCTATTACTTTATTGCCAAATTGTTTTAGAGCTGTGGTAAGAGCAACTATGCAGGCAGCAACCACTTTAGGGTTTTTCTGTTCCATTCCTTTCAATAGTTCTTCTTCAACTATTTCATGTTTTTCTATTTCAATATACATTAGTGTTACCTGAAAATAATAGCAGTAATAATATCATCAAAACACATATTTAAATTTATGATCTGTAATACATACATTATCTATATTTAAGATGCAAATGAAGATAAGATATTATGTAAAATTGAAATATGAAGTTTACCTGTAGTGCAAGGTCTTTTGTTTTTGTTTTAGGAGCTGCAATGCATTTTGTGACAATTCCAGACATTACTTCCCCTGTGGTCTTTCCAGCATGACCACAATTTTCTACAAACACCAATGCAGCTTCCAACCCTTTCAATTAAATAATAATATATTATTTATAATATAATGGTTTACATTTTTCAATTTCTATGACTTAATATTAGAGACTCGGCACTCATTTATCAATCATCAAAACTTTAACCTAATAAATTATAAACCAACTGAATATAAAAGTGAAATAATTGATCTATTTTATTTAACTGTAACATCTTATTTGATTATGTTGTAATTTTGATGGCTCCGTGGCGCAGTGGCTTACCAATGAGTTACAGTGCTAAGGGCCGCGGGTTCGAATCCCGCATGGAACAAGTATTTTTATGGCCTACAAGTATTTGTTCCGGGTCTGGATGTTTTTCCTTGTGAAATTTATGTTTGTAAACTGCCCCACGATACAGGAGAAAATCCTAGTGTGGAAGTAACATTATTTAAAAAAAAAACAAATAAACAATAGAAAGAAAATTTTTCCTGTGAAGAACTTTCATCTAATGATTAAAAACTAAGCCCCAAAAGAAAATTAATAAATTGGGTAATTAAGATTAAGTATAATTTTAAAATGAAAAATCTAAAAATCATTACTTATAATTTCACACAAAGGGAAATACAATTGATATGTAAGTGCAGTTAAATTGTTACCCTTTTGAGCCTCTCATTGCACACTTATTTTGGATTATTTTTTACAATGATATACAAAATATAGATTGTAGTATTTTGTTATAAGTTGATTTAAGGTTAAAAGAGATTTTTATTTCTTGATGAAACTTTTTCCTCAACCTATATATAATATAATATATATAATAGTCAATTCATCACTAGAGATGTAACTTACTATTAATATAATTAAAACTTACCTTTCTCCTGAGCCATGACATTGCTGTCAGTGACAAACTTCTTTATCAGTCCCAAATACTTATTCCACTCTGGTGATTTCTCATCATCAATCTGATTGAAGAGTTTGATGGCCTCCTCATATCCTGCAACTCGAGCCTTCCACAATTTGTGAACACATTTCTCCTCTGTCGGTAGCTTCTTATACTCGTTTTCATCCTCCATGATTAGTGTTTAGTCTTTGATTCTAAATAATAAATACCTTTTAATAACTTTTTTTTTTAATAAAATTCAGTATAGCAGAATCATTAGAACCTTCAGATGAAAGTGTGCAATCAGCATGTGTTGCCTTTTGCCTCACTGCTGGCCTTATGAAGAAACTCAAATTATCAGGCCTGCAACGAGAAGACCTATGCTGGGAATTTCTCTGCATGATAAAATCCATAATGACATTAACTCACAGTGCCACTGGATCAGTAAGTGTAAGTGGCAATGAGCCAGTCATATAGCATGAAGAACCAACAACCAAAGGAAAGAAAGGTTCTCAGATGGCAGCCTCACACTAGCAAGTGCAGTGTTGGACAACCTTCCACTACTGTCTACACGTTGTAGCATGGTGCGAATGACAGCTCACGCCTATGAAGTTTCGTATTTTGTTAGATAAACTGTCATACAGATATTGTTGTACTTCATGAATGGGAACCGCCCACTTACGATAGTGATGTGCCTCGCTAAATTACATCATGCCATAATGAACAACTACAAACTATCAAAAATCAGTGTTGAAATAAATTGAATATATAAAATAACGTAAATATGTATTGGAATTGGAACTAATCGTTCAACAAATTCTGAATGAGATCAAAAAAATGCACGTAGATGAATATACAGTCTTTCCGATGCATGGACGATAAATTATTTGTTGGTCAGTTCAGGTAAAAATATAATTATAAAGCAACTTGCTCATTGTGTCCAAAAGACTTTATCATAACACATGGTGGTAAAAATGGCTACAAAAAACCTATTTTTTTACATTTAATTAGATTTGTAAACCAAATTCTCGATTATTTTTACCTTTCGTCTCGATATTTGGCCCATTAGACCTGGCAACACTGTATTAGACACATATAGCGAAAGGCACTAGCACATACCTTGATAAGCTGCCGGTGCAGTCAGCGCTGTATTGAAAATTACAAATGCTGGCAGCCATTTTATTTATTTAAATGTAAATATGAATGTTGCAATCAACATAAAATAGATGCTGATTTTATTTTCAAATTAATGGATAGTACAATCTATACATTGAAGTGTCTGTTTGTAATATCAAAATAACAGCCTTTTACTAAATGCACATGAAAATGTATATGGTATTTATAATAAAAAGACAAAAACAATTTTAAAATGTTTGTCTTTCTGTCTGATTGTTCCGGCTTATAGCTGGCGCTGGCAGATAGCGGATGTTATAAGAAGTAACGCAGGCTACTTTTACTTTAGAAAAATAATTTGAATTCTGTGCAAAAATTAAAACCCGTGAAATCAAATCGTTCCATGCGGGCGAAGTTGCGGGAACAGCTATTATGTAACTATTACGTCATAATTTGTATTAAAATTTAATTTTACATGCGGTGTAGTTTATAAAGAAATATATGTTTTGGTTTTAATTTTATATTGACAGCTAATCGATAATCTTTGCGTTGCTTGGTGTATTGTTAATTGCCTTTTTAAAATTGATTAAAGATTGTACCATCTTTAGGATATGCCAAACTGTAAGCTGTCACCCGCACCATGCTATAACGCAAAGACCATAGACGGCCCAGGAATTTGTGGCAATTTATAGGGGAGGCCTAAGTTCAGTAGTGGACTTGTGTTGGGCTGTAGTGATAATAGTATGATATCAGAATTATGTTCAGGAGTGTACTTGTGAATGGCTGTAATGATGATGATGATGATGATGATGATGATCAGAATCATAACTATACATCCACAGGTAGATATAAATCTTGCCTAATTTTAGGATTTGTGATATATATACGGATTGGTAATATTTGAACACATATTCTACTTATTAACAGTCAAGATATTTGTGACAAGATTGTGTATTTAGGAAAATGTTTTACTTAACAAGCTTGTCTAGCTAGGAATCATTCTTGAGAAAATTATAATTTGTTTCTATTACAGAGAAAAACCTGTTAGCCTGGGTACTAATAATATTCAAAATATAATAAAAAAATTGAACCCTTAAAATTTTACCCTATATTTACTTTCACTTATAGAGTAAATAAATGTAACATAATTTAGATTCTTGTGTGTCATGTACAGTACATCCTATTCACAAATTATGTAATTTTAAGGTCAAGCTACATACGCACTGGCTTAGCAATGAGTTACAGCTCTATGGGTCACAGGTTCGAATCCCGCACAGTACAGGTATTTGTATGGCCTACAAGTAATTGTTTTGAGTCTGGATGTTTGTCCTTGTGGAATTTATGTTTGTAAACTGCCTCCATGATACAGGAGAAAGTCCTAGTGTGGAGGTAACATTTCTTAAAGAAAAAAATAAATAGAGGGTGAGCAGAATGTCATCTAGATCAATAGTAGGTAGGTAGGATGTAATAATTGGTCCAGGTCCTTCCGGGAGCTCACATATCACAACTTACATGATGTCAGAAGTAGTTAACTACATAACTTTGTACTTATGTTAAATTTGCCAGAAACTTTTTGTTGATTAATATTAAACTTTAATTATTTAATCTAATACTGTTAACTGAAGAGACATGAAAATTAAATTAAATATAGTATTAAATCAAAGTACAGAAAGAATAACAGTTATTTGTATTATTTATTGTGTATTATACAATTAGTAAAATATACTAGCCCCTTAATAGGAATAATAATGCATCAAAGCTGCAGTTTTCAAAATGAATTATAATTAGTTGCATGCTCCATAATCACTTCCAAACCACCATAAAGAGAAAGAATAAGAAGGAAAAGTCCTTTTCCAATATGTGAGGTTTAAAATATTATTTGCTTAAAATGTGTGTAACCTGACAAGGTAAGGACCTTATAAAATAAGGTCTATTAAGCTAAGACAAGTGACTCAGATTCAATTTTACGGGAGATGTTAAAAAAAATTACAGCTTTTTAAAAATTATTCTAAAAACTAAGTTTATATTGAACACATTAAATTTATTATCATTTAAAGTTAATGTCTAAACAAACAAAAATTATACCTGTTAAATTATTAGTGTTTGTTTACTTTTACTTAAATCTTTACATTTGGAAATAGTTTTTAAAAATATATGATAGGTACACAATGGGTACTTTAATAAAATATTGAATTAATATATCCATTCAAATTAAGATTAAACCGAGGCAAGGGCTGGATATTGGGCCAGATTTCAAACTTGATGCAATTAAATAACTATGTCTTCCACATTAATTTTCATAAAAGGAATCTGGATAACCCTGAGCATAATTAGTGCAATGCATATGTGCAGACTGCAGTTGAGTTGACCTTTAGGGCTTTTCTTGTAAGGTCATTATTGCAGTTTTATTAAAAATATATTATGAGGATATTAAGGAATTATAAATATATTTGATAAAAAAGAACAATGATCAAAAATTTAATATACATATTTGACTTTATATAATTTTATATATAATGGTACAACTATCCCTATGTTAATTTTATTGAATACCTTATTTTATCTCAATTTAAATTATGGTAATCAATAAAATTAACATAGAAATAATTCAAATAAAAACTAAGAAAAGCGAAATATATCAACGAAATGATGATTCAACGATGTCTTCCTTTCAAATTACAATGGCTACCTAGCCAATACACCAGAACAAATTTTAATCGCGGGCCAGTTAATTTATAGCCATATCCAATATAAGTTAGATGTGAAACTAGAGCGAGCATCGAGCGAACATCTGAAAACGGTTACTTTCTAGCTACAATACAAACAAAATGCCTCAGATGTCGTTAAACTTACCGTTATTTATGTAGTCTTTGTTAATATCACTTTTTTAATCTACAGAAAATAAATTTAAAAACACGTAATGCATGAATCACTCACATGATCTATAACGACTAGAAACAATATTTTAACCGACAAAGGGAATTCTTTTTCGTCGTCGTTTTTTGAGTTTGCAAATGATAGAAAATGGACGTGAACTAATGTTACCATACAAAAATTAAACTATAGTAATACCAAATACCAAAATCCAAATTACAACCAATATATCCTCTTTGATCCTAAATAACTGGTCTATGACCACAGAATACATTTACCCTGACGGGTCTATGACTGACTGATGTTTTATAAGCATAGAATTATAATATACTGGCGTATCCTAAGTCTGTGGGTCTAAGTAAATAACCAAAGCGTACAGATACTATATACTACTACTATAGTTAAAAATCTAAAAGAAAAATATCGCGTAGCGAATTTATTTTCAAATGATAGAATTTCCTATTTCTTACATGTTAATTAAATTATAAAATCATTGAAATTATTAGCTTATTAAAATAACCAACAATAAAGTACTATGTATCTTTATTCTAAATATTTAAGTTATATTATTTTGGTATAATATAATATGGGAATTTAGGAAAATGTATGGGTATTAACCCATACATTTTCTCCCATTAACGTTTCTTTCTGTAATATTAGTTATATTTCATATAAATAAAATTAAAAGTGAATAAACCAAACAACTGCTGCGCATAAAATTTAAAGAGTGAAAAAAATTAAAGAGTAAACCACCGAGGCATTGTAACGTGTTGTAAATTACCGAGGTTTTGTAATTACTGTAGAGTGTATAAATTTATTTTATTTAAAACTACTTCTTAATAAAATGACATCGTGTAACAAAAAAAATTCTCCTCAGTGATTGATATACAAAAAAACCTTAGTCCAAGCTAGCGATATCCGGTAAACGGCAGATATTACCTTAGTTATTAATAAAAATTAGGAAGTTCTATAATGGTAACATTATGTTGACCAATGTCAAATAAAATCATTCAATTTTCTATACCGGCAACCCGGCAACCTGGCAACCACTGGCAACGCACATCCGTCATCGGGTTGTTTTGTTTTTAAACGCAATTCATTCATATTTCATTCTCATTCTCTTTAATTTCATGTCATTCATTCAGTTCACTCTCAATTTTTTTAATTTTAAATGGTGTAGAATTTATTAGCGAGTGAGACGTGTGT